TTATAGATCGTATATTTATTTCAAGATTCATTAAAATCAAAAATAGAAAAGTTCTATGAATATATTATTTTCTCATAATAGTCTTTTTATTATAATTTAAAATACATTTTTAAATGATATATCTAAAAAATAAAGACAAATCGGTTTCGATTTCTACCATCATCGATTATGTAAAATTTTATTCATTAATTCTATATAATTAAGGGTTGACCTAATTTAAAATCATCTAATATTAAGGCCGTTGCTTTGCAGTCGGAGCTGCTCATACTGTACAAACAGGTTTTTTTTCGTCTCCAAATATCCTATCCAATCGCTTGGGTTGAGCCATGAGCCTGACGATTGATTTCCATGAACATNNCCGCTGCTTTGCAGTCGGAGCTGCTCGTGCTGTCAAGCTAGATGCATAACTCTTGTTAAATGGTGTGCGAGACAGCTACTCATTAGAAGGAAGAAACCTTTTATTAGTCAAGTAATTCCCAAGCCATGGAAAACCAATCTAGTACTTAGATCGATACATAGTCATCCTCCAGTTTAGGTGCTGCCGGATTACTAGCCTGGCCGGCGAAAGCTCCCGGGCGGTCCGGAACAGAGTGCTTGAAAGAATTATGTCCAAATAGGGCACGAATTAGTATGGGACCCAGAATCTGGATTTTCTTGAGGAACCCGTCAAGGACTTCTCTATATGCTATCTCCGACAAAAATCTCGTGAAAGTAGCAATTCCTCCTATGAAGGACCGAGGAACAGGTACGCGCGACGTACGCGACGGTCCCGCCAAAGCCACGAATATCATCAAAGGACAGACTATGCCTTCCAAAACGGGATCATACCATCGGCCACCAATGATGCCAAGATACCCCGGGATAGACAAAAAGAGTCCCCACGGAGTCCTCTCTGTAAAGGCCCTCCGGTCTCGAGGCATTAGCGGGAAGCCAATATTCACGATAATGGAATCCATTGAAACTCTTGCTCGAGTCTGCTTTTTCGCAGAAATTCTCTCTCGCGAGAGTCTTGGGCCTGCAAGAGCCCCGCGGCGAAGGCTCTGCGGGTGCTCCGAGTAAGGTTTTTATCTTGGCAAATGCCGTGGTGAAGGCTCCGCGGGTGCTTCTGGTAAGGTTTTTATCTTGGAAAATGCCGTGGGGAAGGCTCCGCGGGCGCTCGTACCCGTGTCTTCGCAATTCTTCGCTGGTCACTGCTCCCAGCGACACGCTCGCTCTGGTAACATAATCGTATCTTCACGACTGTTTTTTTTTTGCCCTTTGGCCCTTTTGTCCTGCCCTGCCCTTGCAGACTGGGCCCCTTAAGGGTTCGAGGCCTCTTGCTCGTGAAGGCTGGGCCTCTGGACGGGTCAAAGCATGTTGCTCTCGAACAATTGGCCTCTTCAGGGGTCAAAGTCTCTTGCTTTTGACGGTTCGGCCCCTTCAGGGGTCAAAGCCTGTTGCTATCGAAGCCTGGGCCCCTTCGGGGGTCAGCTGCTAAATATTTAATACGAATGTTTGGTTAGCGAATACCGCCACGCGCATAACGATCGGCAGATGTATACGCACATACGAATACCTCTATTTCTAATATCTACATATCTCGCACACTTACTGCATCCAATCATCGTTTCTAAAAATATCTTTATAGAATCTAATAATGACTCGGCTAATATCTATGTTCGTAAAAAACATCGATAATATACTTTATCAATCAATCTACCGCGATTGTAATACGAATTTATCAAAAAATATAGACACGAATCTATCAAACTATACATTTTAAGTTCGTCAGAAAGACTTTAATAATATACTATATCAAACAATCTATCGTAACTATACCATGAATGGGTTTCAAAAACATATACACCAATCTATGAAAGAAACAAAATCGTAAAAAATATTAACAATATAACAATATATTTTATTAATCGATATACCGCAATTACAATATAAATCAATTATAAAATATAGATACAAATCTAAGAAAAAATAAGTTCGTAAACATTTTCGACAAGCCACTATCAATCAATCTATCATAATTATAATAAGAGTCGATTACGAAAATATATACATCTATTTATGAAAAAAATAAGAACGTAACAAATATCGACAATATACTTTATAGCAATCAAACTATCGTAATTATCATATGACTTTTTTATAAAATCATATAAGCCAATAAATCTATATTAAAAAAAATATCGATAATATTCTTTATCAATCGACTTATCATATTTAAAATATGGGTTTCGTACAAAAATTCCTACACGAATCTATAGAAAATTAGATTCGTAAAAAGATCAACAATATGTTTTCTCAATCAATCTACCGTAATTGTAATATGAATTCCTTATAAAAATATATATAAGCCAATCTATGGAGAAAAAAAGAAAGATCGTTAAACAAAAACATCGACCATATTCTTTATCAATCAATCTACCGTAATTGCAATATGGATTTGGTACAAAAACATATACGCGAATCTCTGAAAAAATAGGTTCGTAAAAAAGATCAACGACATGCTTTATCACTCAATCTACCGTCATTGTGATATGAGATTCTTACAAAAACAATAACGCGAGTCTATGAAAAAGAACATCGATCTTTGGCTACGGCATCCCTAAAGGATGCGCAAGAGATAACTTGGGCCTGATTATGCAGTCAGGCATTCAGCTTGAATGTGGCTGCCGGTTTTTGCTGAGGAGCCGGGTTGAAACATCCCAGCTACAGACGCGGTGGGGTGTGGAGTGTCTGGTTGAGGTTGCTCGCGGCTGCCTGGAGTTCTGTAGTCGTCGGACTCATGATGTCGATGCGCTTGAGGGCTAGTTCACAAAGCAACGTTCGATTTCCCTGAAACTACAGAGAGAGGGCGGGGATACTCAAGCGATGGTACGGTTGTGGAAATATGAGGATGCAGGGTTTACGGTCACGGCCCTTATAACTTTCCTGGAGCGACAAGCTAGACTTCCAAGTGCACATTCCAAACCAATGAGCGGGCTTAGATTGGTGGCTAGGAGCTACAGCCTTCAAGGTGTAGGGCTCGAGGATTTCTGTAGAAGAGCTTTGCTGTAGTATCACTATAGTACTGTAGTGCGATATTGTGTTTCGATATAGTATCATGGTATCAGTCATAGCTTGGGTGGGGCCGCGCCCCTGTAATAGTGAGCAGAAACAGAAGCACAAAAAAAAGCACCAGGCAAAATAGGAAATTATGGTCTGGGTGTGATCATAGTTGGTATTGAAACCAGCCTGGTTTGTCGGGTCTATAATGGAGCCTCTCCTAGAAAGCTGGGGTCCGAACAACTAATCCCACCGAATCCCTTTCTGAATCCCACTATACGAACATAGTATTCCTCCTGACCTACAGACCCTCAAACGGCACGCGCGCGTGCATTTTTGCGCGCGGCCCGCACGCAAACATATAAAAAAAAGTAGATTGCGAAAATTTAGACCCGATTTTCTGGCTTGGCCCGGTGGGCTGTCACAAGCGGCCAAATCCCGACCCTCTCCGGACCTGGCCGGGGGGTCCAGCTCTCTCTTATTTAGTACTGGACCGGGGTCCTGGCCGGCCGGACCGGATCCGGCTCTCTCAAATTTAGTACTGGGCCGGGGTCCTGGCCGGGTCCGGCTCTCTCATATTTAGTACTGGGCCGGGGTCCTGGCCAGCCAGACCTGTTCTGGGGTCCTGACCCGGGCCTCTCCTGGCTCTTCTCCGGCTGATCATATTTTGACCTGGGAGGCGGTTCCGGGCGACAGAAACGACTCAAACGTGTTGTGCTTTTCTGGTGCTCGAAGTTATGAGTTTGTGCTTTTTCTAGTGTTTTTTCTGGTGCTGTTGCTTCTGCTTATGTTTGGGAGTTTGTGCTTTTTCTGGTGCTATTTCTGGTGCTTTTGCTTCTGCTCCTGTTTGGGAATCCTGGTGCTCGAACTTATGAACAAAGCACAAATCTTGTGCTTGATCGCTGGTATTTCCTATGACATAGTTTCTCCGGTTGAAATTGTGTTTTTTCTTGTGCTTTTTTGTGGTCTAGTTTTGGAGTTTGTGCTTTTTCTAGTGCTATTTCTTGTGCTTTCTCGTGCTTTTTCTGGTGCTTTTGCTTCTGCTCATGTTTAGGAGTTTGTGCTTTTTCTGGTGCTCGTCTGATCCAATTTTCTAAAAGAGCGCGGAGGAATGGCGTCAGACTTGTACGAACGTGAACGGATTTCCTGGTGCTAAAACTTCCGGTCTTGCTAAAAAAAATTGTGCTCGTGTTCCGTTCTGCTGGTGCTTTTGCTTCTGCTCATGTTTGGGAATTTGTGCTTTTCCTGGTGCTATTTCTGGTGCTTTTGCTTCTGCTCCTGATTGGGAATCCTGGTGCTCGAGACGATGTTTGCAGCCAAGGGACCGCGCGAGGCCGCGCGGTAGCGTTCGCGATTTTTTTCCGAGCCTCTTGTCTTTCCAAAGCAGCCTCTTGGCGTCACTTCGCTGCTCGCAGATTCCTCCCGGGCAAATGCCATGACTTGACATAACTGACTTCAGCCACAAAGTCGCATAATCAAAGACATTGTCTCTGTTGCGAACCCATGACGCAGCCTTGAGGGGAGGGGAGGGGAGGGGGGGAGAGAGCAGGGAGGGGAGCGGCTGTCCAAACGACTCGGCTCTGAGTCAGCTATGAGTTTGACGGGTGGCTCCCGGGCCCCAAATTCGATTTCGTTTGCTGGTGCTACTTTTCGGCTGTGTGTTTAGCCTTAAACCTAGTTTTGAACCATTACAGGAGCGTGGCTCGCTCCAAGTCATAGCATATATGCAGGACGAATCAATCAGTCTGTGCGCTTGCCCAAGGTTTCTCTTCAGAGTACGCCGGGCAAAACGACTCTACATGATTCTACACAGTGAGCCATGAAACTCAGCTGCAAACACGCGCTGTGACGCTCTCACCTCTCATTCTACCGCCTGAACATGATAGAAACTCGCCCAAATAAGTTTCACTCGCCAAGAACTTGCCGAAAGGACCTCCACACTCAATCTAGCATCCGTGCAATCATGTGATTTGCTGGGCTCGGCTGTCCGCTGTCGGCTCCAACCAGGAAGCCTGCAACTTGGCCCGGGCCATGGCCTGCAAAACATCAGCTGCAACTGTCCCGACCCAGCTTGGAAGCTGGCACTCGAAGGGTGCCGCGGTGCTTCCAGGTCTTGCACCTGCAATCTTTGAGAGCAAGATCGGTGGACCAAGCAGAAGCACGCTCGGCCGGGGAATGAGAGGCGTCCAAACTCTTCGATCTCCAGGTCCCGGCTCCACAACCAGAGCCCCAATGGCCGTGGCCCCAAACGTTTCGACGGCTGCCATACGAGCGAGCCGAGCGAGTGCCTGCACATCGGTTGCTTCAGCCCCAATGGTGTTTACTGCGACAATGGCATCAGGCTTCATCGTCGCCCAAAGAGCTTCCCAAAATTCCAAGGACAGAAATTTTGGAGGGGCTGTTCCACGAAGAAAATCGATGTCAACTACAAGACCCGCCAGACTCGCGGGAGGCCAAGGCCGCTTGGGCCCCTGCACGATGCTGAGGGCATCTTCCTGCTGCACAAGAAGTCGCTCATGGCTTGCTCCGAAATATCTGACGGCAAAGTCGATCACCTCATCTTTTTTGCAGGGGAGTGGGAGCCTGGCCTAGGCCTAACAAGGGGGCTGAAGAGGGACCAAAGCGAAGTACTAGAACACATCATGCTGCCACGTCGTGAAGCTCCACCACATGGACCCAAACAGATTGCACATGGGTCACCAGAACCATTGGCAATGCCATTCCGCCGCCACCCAGGACGCACAAGGAATGTCGCAAGCACTCGGAAGTGGAGTCCAAAGCCAAAGCCAAAGCCAGCACCATAATTTGATGAGAGGCTGCCCTCAAACCGTCACGACAAAAATGGCGCTCACCCTTCAGATCTGGCGCAGTCAGTTGCACCCTCGTCTGATCTAGAGACAAGGCAGCATCGGACACCATCCAGCGCAAAGCACCTCCATCCGAAGTTTCCTCTTCCACTACACTCCAGCCATCACGACGTTCCAGCGTCTTGGGCCGAGGCACCGTCGACAGCTCCGGAACTTCGTCGTCATTGAACAAAGGAGGGAGCGCCTCAAGATCCGAATCTGAGTCTTCGGATGCCATCCGCGAACAGCCCGTTCGATTCCTGACCACTTGCGGAACTCTGCGTGATGCATCCTAATCGGTGGGTCATGGTGGCTGGCTGCTGCAAGAAATTTGAGATTCACGAATTGGCATCAGCAGTAACAGCTGGGAAGCGACACCTAGCAGAAAAATTCAAGTCAGCAAGATCTGCATGCAGACTCACTTTTCCACGCATCCTATTTGTCTTTGTCCTTTGTCTTTTTCTTTTTGGCAGACTTGTCATCGTCTTTCGCCTGTTTCATTGTCGGTGCAGCAGCGCCGCAGAGCGGAAAAAGAGTTGCTGAGAGTTTCGCTGGAAGGCAGACAAAAGTCACCAGAATGAAGTGCATGCCACGAGTCCTTGGCTTCTTTGCGCCTCTTTCCTCAGCTGTCGCACCCAAGGAGGAAAAGCTGGCATGAGGAGAAAAAGCTGACATGCCACGGAGGCCTGGAACCTGCAGACAAATAACAAGGAGCAATGCAGCTCAGCTTCTTTCCGCAGGTGGCGAGTCCTGTGACAAGAAGCTGCACTCTAGATGGTGCAACCTGATTCAAACTGACTGGTCTTCCATCAACCTAGCAACTGGAAGCCATCCGACATCTCCTTGAGTTCTTTGGCTTCTTTCGGTTTCTTGCCCTCCTTCTTCCTGTCCCAGCAGCGCTGAGTCGAAGTTATCAAATCGCCGGCAGTTTCTGGTGTCAGTGACCGGCTGCCAGCCTCCGCTGTGGAGCTTCATCCATCTCTGGGCTGCCTCTGCTGCTTCTTTTCGACACACATGGCTTCAGTATACTGTATACTCGCAACAGTGCTTCCGAGCTTCTCATGACTTCCATCAAGGGAGGTGCGGCAGGCCCTTCGAAGGAAAACTTGCCTTTGTCGGAACCCAAAGCCACCTGCGAGGTGATGCAAAAATGCACCAAGATCGAAACCTACAACCCTTCTCCTGTCCGTCACTTTCTCGACAGCCCGCCTTTGGGTCGAGGTTCTGCGTGTTGCCGAACCACGTGCCTTTTATGTGTCGGCTCACCCGAGGCCATGACAAGCATAGACACGTTCAGCCTTCCATCGAGTCGAAGAACTTCTCCGTCTCGTCCTCTGCCGTTTGATTGTGCATTTCCATGAGCTTTCAAAGCGTGCAAGACCCCGCCGGGGCCTCGAGGAGTTCAAGATCCGGAAGATCCGGAAGCTTCAGAGGACTCTTCTCCCCCAGAATCTGACTGATGGGGACTTGCATTTCGGACTTTCCTTGGCAGGGCAAACCAAGCCCTTGCTCTCAGTCGACGTGCCATTCGCATCTGAGCCATGTCGTCATCTTGTCTCCTGGGCACCCCTCTACAACTGCCGATCAATGCCAATGCGTGTCTGGGCACCGTCTCGAGCGAAAACAATGGTCACCTCGGGATCTGTGGACATGTCAGTCCAGCTTCATGAGCGCTGACATCTCGTCACGACGATGGCGGAACGCAGCAAATCATCCAGGCTTAGTAACCATCTTCCTGATGTTACGTGTCCAGACGAGGCGCAGATTTCTGTGAATTAGACACATGTTTCACCACCACAGGCATTTCTTTTCCAGTGGATCTTGATACCTCGGCTCACCGTTGGTACATTGAAACGTAGCCCCCATGCATGGCAAGATGGCTGCTGGAAAGCCACATACACCAGCTTCGCATCTGCCTTGACCCATCCCGGCAGCTGAGCATTGGCCATACCATTCGCACAGACCTTCTTGTTGCTGCATGCTGAGAGGTGAGCAGGTGTGCCGCACGAATTGGTAGACATAATTAGGCTTTAGAGTCTGTGTGGGGCCGGGGCATCGACATTGCACTGAAGTGCTGTTCCCACACTATTTGCCTCTGCAGGTATGGCTTTACTCGTTCCGTGGGATCCATCCTTGGGTTACTCTCAACAGATTTAGCCTCAAAGCCAATGAAGCTGCGCATACCTTCTCTGCATTAACCCTGCACTACACATGTCGCGCAAAGGGCAGCATGTCAGAGTCAATTTTTGCAAGGGGCTCTGCCGCACCTTGGTTTTGTCAGGTACATCCTGAAGGAGAATTGGCATCTGCCTCCGCTGAGAACTAGTAGAACACATTTATCTGCCCACGGCATTCGGGAACCTGTGCGCCGATGCAACCCTGGCAAATGCCAACCTTTTCCTGCCCTACCTGCCGACTCCTCACGAGTTTTCATCGGGCTTCTCGGCACCGTACCTGCACCAATGCAAGGGAAAAACCCTACACCCTAAACCCCTATAAACCCTAAACCCTATTGTCGCTTTTCTCCTTCAACTCTCGGACCTCACACCTCCTCCAGTCTTGCGGCGCACTTGCTTCGTGATGTCCTCCTGCCCTGCACTCCTTGCAAATCACGGGCACCACGACACAGAGTGTACCTGGCAGGACGGATGTAAAGAAACGGTTGGTGCGAATCTGCATGCTGGCCTGACTCCGACAAGATCTTTACGACGCCCTCCGCGCACCAGGACAGAAGAGAATTCCTGATGATGCATGCTGCCATCGTCAACTGCAGAGCCGAATTCGTCAGCTTCCGTGTGTCCTGCAGGTTGTGGCCCTCCCCCGGAATGTAGCCGATGATTTCGTAAGCATTGGACAACTTGACCTGAGGGTAGACAGGCAACTGCCCCAGGAATGCACTCGTATGCATTTTATCAAGCGGAAGGCACTTTCGACGTCGAGAATCTCACCCGAGACGGAATGGTCAGCTTCGAGAGCATTGTTTGCCTAAAGTAACCCGATGTTGCTTCGCCAAGCCTGAAACAGTCGCACTGGACCCGCAGAACTGCTGTGCATCTTTTCCAAGGTTGACCCAAAACGGCCACGATGTGACACAAGGCCACCATCACTTGTCGCTGGAAGTTGAACGAGCAAAGCTGCTCTGCCCAGTCTGACTGCCTGCATAACTAAGTATCTAGGCAGCTGAGCCTCATAAGCAGATACTGTAAGCCTTGAGTCTGTTGGGTCTGCGAGGTTCTCTGCATCAGAAAGCAACCCTTGGGGTGTCAGGCTCCGGCGCGGCAGACCTTTCGGATGGCGGAGTTCGGCTTCTTGGGTGACATCCTGCAGATTCTGCGCGCAGACAGGCGGCTGCTATGAAATCTCGCTTCCACGGCTCCGTGATCCGTTGACATCCCACGACCGTAACTCTCAATCAAGCGCTGCCGCAACCAATGCCACAATGATCCAATGATGAAGCTGACACTGCCACTGCGCAACTGAAACTCCAGCTACATGATCGGTCGTTCATCACAAGCAGCAGCATGACGGTGCCAATCTAGCATCTCCTGTAAAAGCCGTGTCGAAAACTTTATATTGAAACTTGCCTCTGATGCAGTGTCACTACATTTACAAATTGACGATGTCGTACTTACTACACCTTTCATCTTTCCACTCAGCTCCGTGCGTGTAGACGCGTGTCACGATGCCAGCTTTCTGCGGCCTACTTCGTCAGAAATGCTGCACCATGACCAGCCGGAGTGTCTGTCACCGGACACTGAGCCCACTGCCCCTTCGAAAGCTCCTTGCGCTTGTCACGTGGCTTTGGTCGGATTTTTGGTGGCCTCGGATCGAGCAGAAGATGAGAATGGTCTGTGTCACGGCAAGCTTGATGTTGCTCTCTTTGAAAAAATGGACTCGACCTTTCAATCGCATGCTCTTCAGACTCGAAGCAAGCAAGAAATGCTCCAGAATTGGAACGAAATTGCAACTGTTTGCAACTTCCGGCGCTCCAAGGGGTCTCCGGCTCGCATTCACACCCTAAGTCTCTCAGGAGCATTTAAAATTCCCCCACCCCCCACAGAAGAAAATGCAATTGTTACGCCTGTCCCCTGCGTGTTGTTGGGAGAGCCCTTGTCACCGAAGCCAGCCGAGCAGCACTGTTTGGCTTACATGCGACGTGGAGATGCAGCCGACTAAGCATCAACCCTTGCCCACACAGCTCAAAATTTCGCCTGCCTCCTCCGTTCCTCATTCACAACTCACGCCATACAATGCGGGACGGTGCATCAGACGGGTGCTTCTGGGTCTCCGGGGGGTCAAGTCAATTGACAAATTGAAGTGACCACGAGAGCTAGCGACGTCGTTTTGTTGGATTTCCTTCCAACCATCCAAAGACTGCTCAGTTGCGACATGTACACCACTGGCTGGAAAATCGTCAGAACAGCGGCTAGCAGGGCTGATTGAAAGAAAGGGAAGATGACATCTTCTTGCATCACGCATACAGTACCTACTTCGCACCGTGGGTTACACAATCGTTTTTGGAATCGAAAAGGGCCCCTCTGTCTTGCAGATTCTTGTAGGTTTCCGCTCTTGCATGTCCTGCTTCCGTGCATCTCAAAAGGTGGAATTACCTTATGCAGCGGACCTACATTGGGGTGGCGAGTTGCAACAGGAACTCCTTGAAAACCCAGGGGCCTCCGAAAACTTTTGACGGAGTAGTTCTCGACTTTCCCAGAGCTTCGGATTGTGCTGTGGAGATTTGTGCAGGTCTCGGACTAGGACTCTAGGAATGCGTGAGGAACCGAAAGCAAGTGAAGCGAATGCAGCAAGCCAAAAAGCAGTGCAATTCAATTCCTTCAACAAATGTTCCCCGGAGTGCCACCGCCCCAGTTACTTAGTTAGCACTGACATGAAAACCGCAGCTTCTTCTGGGTGGCTGACGCCGTCACTCCAGGAATCCGTGCGCACGGACCCATGATGGTAACGAGCCTCTGTCATCGAGGCGGTGCATTGGCACTGCATTCGCCCCCGACACTCAGGAACACAGCAAGCTTGAGGATGCTAAGACTCCGGCGCCAGCAGGCTTAACGGCAGAAGCCACAACCTGGGCAACGATTCCGCAGCACTCCCCCTTAAAGAAGCGAAACAATCCAGCACTGGAGGCTGCGACCGCATGGCTGGAGTCTGCAGGCCCTTCTACTATCTCTAGGGCCACTCCGCTGGTGAACCATGCAACCGGCATACATACTGCAGAAAGCAATTGAAACATAGCAAGCTCTCAACTCGAATCTGGACTGGTGCTCGGTGCACAGCATCCTTCAGGCATCAAGCAACGTGTAGGTGCATGGTTTGCATGAGCGATAAATAATCGTCGGGAATTGTCAGAACTTGCAGCTGAAAGTGGGTTCGAATGGCTTGGCGAGTTGCTTTTGTGCCGCTGAGAGGCCCGCAGAATTGAATTGATGGAGCTTCAGCGATCATCTGCCGCGCGTCCACCGTGCGCTTACCATTAACTTGGATTTGGCAATGCTGGAATCTGCAGTGTGCACGCAGAAACACTTTCACACTTCGGGATTCTCGTACCGGCTGCTCGCATTCCTAGCTCTGCCAATTAGAAAGGCCCTAAGGCAAGTAAAGCCCATGGAAAACATCTGTTCAAGACTGTAGGCACAGCCATGCGGCCTTGCCACATGCGACCGGTGGCCGGCTGTCAAAGCCTGTACATTCTTGAGCTGAGCTTGCCAAGGTACTCAAACTACACTGTTACCCCTAATCTTAAGGTCTTAAGGCACTCTTCGAGCGGCCGCTGGTGTGTCGATCCCTCAGCACGCACAACAGATCAAACAGTTCCGAGACATCGGAGGTCGAATGCTCATGCTCTCACCCAGTTCTTGAAGAGCTGCCCGGCAATGTAACCTGTCTTGGGAGTTGGGAGGACGCCTGCGGTGCCTCCAAGAAATTTGCAGTACATGGCATCATCACAAAGAGGACTTTGACAACAGAACAAAAACACTAATTACAACATATTCAGTAGCAGTTCACTCGCCAGACCATGCAGATACTGAAGACTTCCCAGAGCTGTTGCCCAAGAGCCGTTCCGACTGTTTCAGAGCCCTGGGCATTCACGTTCGTCGAAGGTGTTTGAGCAGCATCGAGGTTGGTCCGTTGGAGCAAGCAGCAGTGAAAGGCAAGCAGCAACATGAGCAAACCAAGCCAGGTTCACTAATGCCAGCGCCCCGCTCGACCTGAAGCTCTGGCACCTGCCAGAACGTGTCAGGAAGTTCTGTCGGACAAGCTTCGGGGATCTCGCTGGTCGGCACGGCAGTCGAGTTTAGAACAAGTCTAATGGTACTCTGCTACACGCCGCCTTGTCGGCGACGAAGTCGATAAACTCGTAATCCTGTCCACATGGCTGATGTTGCACCAACAATTTGCACTGTGCGCAGTCGTGCTCTCTGCGGCACAATCTGAATCTAGGCCCTACAGGCCCTGCACAAGTCGGAGCCTCGTCCAGCATCACACCGACGCCCTGCATCTGAGTGATGGCTCGGGACACAAATGCCAGCGCAGGAGGCAGCTGGAAGTACCTTTCAATGCACTGTCTGGTCTGGGACCTAGCCGCCTCCCTCCTTCAGTACAGCTCAGTTTTCCGGAGGCATGTATGTGTATCGTTCGAGCATCGCTGGCTCCAGAGGGCGCACTTCATCACCTCCGACTGCTTTGGAGCTTTCTTCTGCTGCTCCTCCTATCACCAAAGCTTTTGACATGTCTACGAGCGACCCTGCGGTATTCTAACAGCACCAAATCGCTGGCAGCCGAGGATCCTCTGTGAGCTCGCGCTTTCGCTTGCTTCGCTTGCTCTTCACCTGCTCCACAGGCTTTCCCAATATTCCATCCCGGCTCTCCCCCAATGCCTTGCCCGTCTCAAAGTTTTTCTGGACGACACCTTCAACGGCCTGTGAGAGGGATACTTGGCTCTGTAGCTACTCGGCTGCACGCGTCAAGGCCGCTAGCAGTGGCCGCTGGCCTTGAAGTCGGTCCCTTCTTTCAGGCAGCCCAAGCTGTCCATGGCCTCGGAGCAAACTCGCAAGGCAGCTGCGCAACCAGATTGGTCATTTACAAAAGAAGCCTTTGCCTTCACGCAGTCTTTGGCCTCAAAGTCCACAATGGACTGGATCACCTTGACCCGAAACCCGAAACATCCCTAAAGTCCCTAAGACTTGCAGAGTGGCGAGTCGGCCTGTAGGATGCCATCTGCTTGACCGTCAGTGAGCTCGCAAGCCTTCAACACTCATTCGCGTTTAAGCCTTGAGGGTCTATATGGGGCATCTAGGCCCTGCGCTTTTACCGGCTGGGCCTGGCCAAAGTCATAGAAGATCAGGCGACCTCCCGGGTATTTGTCATCCACGGCCAAGTTGCCAGGATGGGGGTCCTCATGGCAGGTCCAGTCTATAAGGACCACTCCTGGAAGGTTCTGGAAGCATACTCTGCTGGTGTGTCCGTGTTGAAGAAACCGAACTTGCAGAACTGGAGGAGGTATGCCTCGCGGGGAGATGTTGACGTTTTTGCCGTGTCTCCGGATTCTTGCTTCCGATGGCCGGCGCTCTGCCTGCGCAAGATTCTTGGCCAGGAGCGTCCTGTCGAAGCCCTGACTCTCGAGCTTCTTCAGGTCCTGGAAAGACTTTGACAGCACGAAGCCATTGTTGCAGCACAGGCGAAGCACTTGGACGGTCCGAAATCTTTGTACCGGCGATGAATGTGAGCGCCAGAACTTTCGAGGTGGTGACTGACATGAGTCGAAGTCGAAGGAAGTCATTCACGGCAAACGGCAGTAACAACACGACAGGCAGACACTCGTCTACAACTTCGGGGCTCGTGACCCACTTGACCTGATCAAAGCTGCACAAAGCGAATCAAGCAGAATGTGAAATGCCAAATCACCTCCTTGAAATTCTCAGTCCACCGTCTCGTGTTTTCCGCCTGTTACTGCGCAGCATGCACCGATCCCACTTTCAGCATGGCAGCGCCTCTGCCAGGTAGTCGATCTCTCGATAAAGAATGACCTCATTAATCATACGATCTTTCAAAAGGCTGACACAATGCGCCCATGTTCATGCGGATGTTAAAGAAACGGTTCTGAGTTCACATCCGCCCAACCGGTGCCATGGCAGACTTGTGCAACGGGAACCCGGAAAAAAAAGCTTGCGCCGCACCTTGGCATCCTCGAACATGTCGACCCACACCTGGACCAGTTGCAGGGGTTGGTGCAAAAAACTAGGACTGCTCCGAAGATCACGCCTGCGAAGCACCTTCCACTCCGATCTTGTACTTGTCCAGCATGACAGCAATCTGCGCTGAAGTGCAAAACGAGCTTCGTACACGCGATTGCTCAGCTGCTTTCCTGAATCCTGGACACCGACCAAAGTATATAGCTCACAGCGCCTGGCCTTGTCAAACTGTGCTAAATCCTTGGTAATGGGCCACGTTTTGTTCGGAGCACTTGTGGAAGTTTGGGGAGGCAGTGCACGCAGAACCTCTGAGAATGCAACAAGATCGTACATCTCCTTCAGCTTGTCTCGCTGGATCTCGGATACAGGCTTGGAGCTTCAAGGTGCGAGGCTCTACAACTCCTTCTCCTCGGAAACATGGTCTGCTTGACAGCGGACCTTGATGGCAAGCTCTTTGCCATCCTTCGTCCTGGCTCTGTGCACCTGCGACACGCTGGGTTCAGACAGTGGCACTTTTTGCGGCCATCCTCCGTAGCAGCAGTAGCAGCTCTTTTCTCTGTTGCCGGCCCGAAGCGGTCAGAACTCTGGCGCGCTGCCGTCCTTGACCTGGGCCTCGGCTTTGTCTTCGGTACGAGTACCATCTTTCTCGTCCTCTTCGTCATCCTCGTCGTCTTCGTCTTCGTCCTCCGGCTCATCCTCACTCTCGAAGTCGCAGTCACAGGCCTGACATTGACATCTGCTTTCTTGGCTTGACGACCAGGTGCCAGAATTGGCGATTGCAACGGCTGCTGAGAGCCAGCCTTGTTCTCGTAGACTTCGCAAGCTTTCTGCAGATTGCACTCGTGGAGGAGATGTTCATAATCTTGTAGAACTGAGAAACCACAAAGGACTGGGTTGACCTGCACTGAGAACCCAACAAGTACAGTCGACAGCTATCGCCACCAGTATGAAGGCAGCAGCCCACACCTCGATCACAACCATGTACCTTGGATGAGTCAGAGCGAGCAATAGTTGAACAGGCAACCAACAACCGACATATGAGAATCTATTCCGTGCCGGGGCGCTCTGCATCGGACACTGAGAGCTCCACCGGCAAGGGGCCCAAGACTTGCTTTAACCTCGTGGATACTGAATTGCCAATCTTATCCTTTATTTTCTGGACATTGCTTCGAGGTCAAAGGTGCAAGTGAGGAAATTGCTGCAGCTCAGCGAGGCTGGGTCGAGGACACACTCATCGCTTCATCGCGTTTGATGGTGCCCATCGCACGGCTGTGGAAAGCAAAGTACCAACCCTTAGCCGCTGGCTGTCCTTTCCCGTGCACACCGCAACTCGCTAAGTATGCAGCCAGGCGTTGGCTTCGATAGGCGGAGAACCGAATCAATTCTCGAAAAGTCCAAAAGTCAAAAAGCGTTCTGCGTTTCGGCTTTTCGCGTTTTCCTGCGCTTCACAATTTTCGGTGCTTTTGCCGTTTATCCGGAGTTGAGACTGTTCGCTTTTCTCTGCGCTTTTCACACTTGTAGCTGCTTTTCGGGTGTTGCGACTTTTCGTGTCCACGCTTTTCGCACTTCGGCTTTTCGACTTTGCGCGCTTTTCTGAGCTTTTCGACATGTTCCAACGTACAAAAGCCCCGGGCCAGGCTACGCTCCCAGGGCTGGGCTCGGGGCCTGGAGGCCCAGTGCCAAAGTGTGGTGGGCCTGGGTGTTCCAGGCGAAAGTGCAGCCAAGCTCAGGGCTAGACCGAGGGTAGGCCCTAAGAGCTTGGGCTGGACAGGGGGATGACAGGGTATGGTGGAACAAGGAGCTTTTTTCTCTCGGTAGGCCTACTTAGGGCTCCTAGGCCTGACGCAGCAAATCGAGTAGCAGTCGGGAGTAGTCGAAGGACAGAAGAACGGTCACTAGTCGCGGCAACAGTTTTCCGCAGATCGAGCTTCATGGCAAGCTTTGCTGAATTCTTAATCATTTCGGGTTCCGCCCCAGTCACAAATCCGTCGACCCCCCGAGGCGGCGTCAGTGAAATCCCGAAGAGCTTGTTTTATTCGTTTGCTGCTACCGGCTCCCACAGGCCTCCAATGCGTGCCCAACCCGCCGCACCCGCCCCCTTTTACGCCTACCCCCATCCCTTCCGTGCCCCCCGTTTTACTCGGCCCTGCCACCCCCCTGGTACGGCTCATGAAGAAAGAGGCCTCCACAATGCGTGCCCAAGCCATCCGCCTGGCACGGCTCATGAAGTAGGAAGTACGTGTCCAATATGTGCCGCCGCCATCGCCCTCATCGCTTCCACCGCCCTGATCGCCCTCACCGCCCCTAGATTAGCCCCCCCCCCCCTCCCCCCCCGGCGACCTCACCGCCCTCACCGTCTCCAGACCTCCAATGCCGCCGCCCCCACCACCCCGTGCCCAAACCCCCCGGACACCCCGCCTCTTTTCACCTACCTCGAAGAGACAAGCCTCCAATTCGTGCCGAAACGCTCGCCAGTCCAAACCGACACCCTCACCTCCCTGACCGCTCTGATTAACCTCACCGCCCCCAGAACACTCCCCCCTCCCCAAACCCGAGCTGCCCCCACCGCCCTTGAAGAGCCCCATGGAGGCGGGCAGTGCGTTGCTTGAGGGCCTTGCCGGTTTCCCATTTTGGGTGTTGGCGGCACTGGCGGCTAGTTCCCCGAGTGCATGTGTTCTGTGAGTATCAGACTCAGCCGAGCCATAGCTTGCTAGCGTTGCTTTAGCAAAAGGCGCGACCGCCAGTGCCGCCGACCCCTTCGAGTTTTTTTGTGTAATTTTGGGGTAGCCATTGTTAGCCACCAAAGGGCGCGCATCATGAGCATCAGCGGCCACAGCCCGGGACCCGGGGCACGCATCATCAGCATCAGTGGGGCCCGGGGGACACGGGAGAAGGCCCGTGGCCGTAAGTAGCCAAAGCATGGAAATCTTGGCTGAGTTTTCGGGTTAGGCGAACTCTTTACGTCTGTGCTTTCAATGTTGTTTGACAATTCGGCTTCTTCCCACAAACACGCACTGCAGTGGCCAAAACAAAAGGAGTCTTGGTCTGTTGCTCTCTTTCATTGCATCCAGGCGTAGCAGAAACATGTGCAGCTTTCTATTGCTAGGTTTTGGGATACTTCAGCTGATTTTCAACAGGCGCGGGAAATGCCGACTCGCAAATTTCAGTGATTTGGCATCCTCAAAGCACCTAAGACGAACGGAGCCATTCGTAAGTTGCTGCATTTTCAGATGTGGGGAGCCTAGTAAAATTCAATGAGTGTTGAGCATGCCATTTCGACTTTTTTTTCGGGTCTGAGGAGCCAATCAAGAACTTGGTGTGCAATAAACTCCAATAGTTGTTTATCATTTTGGGCATCCTCGAACAACCTGAAATGCACGAAACCATCGGCACTGTCGATTTTTCTGGTTCGAGGAACCCTTAATGGCAAATTTCAAGGAGTTTTCAGCATCTCGTGGTTCCGACAGCACCAGCAAGTGACAAGTTTTGCCAATTGTTCCGGTCTGGATGGCAAATGTTGCTGAGATTGAAGCCATGTCGGGTCTCATACTTGAATGGTTGAGTTTTCGGCTTCTACGGTGGTTGTGGCTTTTTGTTCGCATTGTCCCTCGTGTTCGATACTTCGACTTTTTGACTTTTCGATTTTCGCTGTACTTATCGGCATTTAGACTTTACGCTTTGGGCTGTACTTCAGGACTTTTCGCGGCATTTCGTCTTCTCGTTGTTTGCTTTTCGACTTTCCGGATTTTCTGGTTTTTGGCGCAAACTCTTAATCAATGCCAGATTTCGAGGTTTCGCTGTTTGGCTTTTCGCGCGCAGTGTGGCCTTCTTCGCTTATCCGTGCCAACAGACATTCACAAGCAAAATTCTTGGAGGCCGAGGCACCGCACCATCCCTGGCCTTGGCAAAAGCTCCGGGCAGCACCGCGGCCGCCGCTGCCTGGAACGACCGTGAGCACATGACGAGAAGTCGCCTGGCGTACTCGGATTTCGTGAACCTGCCTGGAAGTTCTTCAGATGAGGTGCGCAGACATAATCCAGTGGAGCCATGCGACACACGAATCGTGCTGCCTCACAGATGCGTGCAGAATTGCAAGGTGCTACATCTCGGCATGGCCGAAGAGTTGGCCGACATGCTCAACTCTAGCAGCCCACGCCTGTGCATCTTGCCCACCATCGCGCTGCTGCACGAAAACACGCTGCACCAGCTCTGACGGAGAAGGAGCATTCAAATCCTCCTGTAGGGACAGGAACATGATCCAGGAGTGCAGTCATAGCACCGAGCACTGTCGTAAGGTATCGATTCTGCCTCTTCTCCAGGGTAGGACAAGAGCGCAACACCACGACTGACCTGCTTCAACCAACACTGCACAAGGTGAACCAAAACCGTTCCCTATAAATGCAATGATGTTAGGACATTGAATGACATTGACTACTGCTACTGTAACTTCCAATCACTGTTGCTGCTACTAGTACGACGACGGTTACGACTGCTACTCCTGCTACTACTATAGTCATAGTGCCATTACTTCTGTACTAGTACTACGGCATGCCCCCAACGTCTGCCCGCAACTTCGTCTCTGAAGAATCGCCTTCTTGATCGAGCACTGTGAGAAGAGAGCATTCATGGCCAAGCCCAAATAACTTCCATGGTCTACTGCATTGGGAGAAGAATTCATCCATGGCCCAACCACAATGATAATGATGCTACTACTACTGCTGCTGCTGCTCCTGCTACCGCTCCTTCTACTACTACTTATTCTTCTTCCTCCTCTACTCCTGCTGCTGCTACTACAACAACTGCTACAACTACTGCGACGTCGACTACTACTATTGCCACTGCTACTAAGGCTACTACTGCTACTAATACTAGTACGAGTACTGGTAGACCTACTAGTACACCCACTAAAGTGACCACCATGATAGCCAAGACGACATAGGCAAGCGACCATCCCGCGCGCAACGGCAGACCCAGTATCATGCGCATCATTCGCAGATATGGAGGGCCCGAGGCTTTGTTGGCTCCACGCACGAGGCCCGTATAGACTTGAGTGCTATGAATATCACGTTCGGCCTCCAATACAAAGGCCCCAGACCGCGCTGATGCTCGTGATGCTGGCCCACCTTTCAAAATTCACGTTCTCCAGCCGTCCAAGTTTCGAAGGGGCCAGAGAACCCCAATGATGGCGCCACCACTGAACAACGACGATGAAGTCGGATTTCTTCTATGAATACTACTAGGCCCGGTAGTAGTTCTGCCGCTGCAGGTGCTGCGACGACGGCCCTGGCTGCATTTCCATTGGTACGCCAGTCCCTTGACTCTTGTGCTATCTACTCCACTGTGACGTGGGTTCCTGCTTCTCTTCTACATGTATTGTGGTTCTGATTTTTCCTGTCATTCCTATTGTTCTCATTCTTTCGAGTACCCTTCCACTGTTCCGGTTGCTCCTGCTGCTCCTGTGGTTCCGATTAGAATACTCTTATTGCCGAGTGGCCGGCATTCTTGCGACTATTGCAGCTACTGCTTGCACCCAACATGCGTATTGGTGGTTGCAGCTGTTTCCTGGTGTTGTCGCCGTTGTCTCTCTAATTGATCTCGCTTCCTGCCGTAACAGTACATAGAGTGCTGATACCTTACACCAAAGTGATTAGTTCCTAGCGTGATGACTACTCACCTCATGAAAACAGCAAGCCTCGCAGTAGAAGTGGAGAGGTCTCTTCTGAGGCTTCGCAGAGCCGTCTCCCCTGGAAAGAAGGAGACAAAATGGATACACAGATGTAATTCAAAGCCAAGCTCTGGGTCTGGGGGGGCCTCAAGGCCTGAAGTTCTGCTTCCAGGGACTCGCCTGCTGATCTGGCAGCTGGGGTATCCTCCGCTGTGATGGGATTAAAAGCATCTTTCAACCACTTCGCCATGGTCTCTGTCCTCTTTGGCTTCAGGCACTTGTCGAAGTGATTCTGAAGCTGCCTCCTGGATCTCCAACATCGCCACTTTTGCATGCGCATGGTCTCGACTGTTTTAAGCACCTATTTGAAGAACAACACTGTTTGGCAATGTCTCCAGCAACCGGATCGCTTCTCGCGTTGCCTCAGGGCCCACAAGTGACGAAGCAATGGTATCTCATACAAGCCACGACACCACGCTTGCGACAAAAGACGCTTCACTTGGCTCTGGCCTTGCTGCATTGGCTCGGCGTGTGGCTCGTGATGAGCATAGACCGTGTAGGCATTGGTCCGCGCGGTCTCTTGCAAGGCGCCCCTGGGCACTGGAACAGCGTGTTTAGCGATAGGGTTTTTCCAGATTGTTTGAAGGATCAGAAGAGCTTATCTTGGGTGCACGTGAACACTTCTCCCGGCCTTTGTCGTTGGCCTTGCCTTTGCGCTTGCCCTTGCCCTTGCCCTTGCCCTTTCCTTTGCCGGCTTTGCCCTTGGCACCTTTGCCGCCCCATTTTCTCTTGCGGCCAGCTTCACCCATCAAGATGCAGATCAGACCGGCATGGCGGCATCTAGGAATCGGAAGTGCAGCGAACGTGTAAACGTTCAACAATTGATGCGGCCCCGAGCATCGTTCCGTCTTGCTGTGCATCAATCTCACAAAGCCTCTGCTGCCAGTTCTGGAAAGCAGCGAATGTGTGATGACGACATTAGTCGCGCGCTTAGCATCTACCTGACTCCACCTAGGCTTGCCCGGGTCATCATCCTGAAAGCTGACGAGTTTTCGCTCGTGGACTCAATCGACTGTCACCGACTCGAGTGCTTTAACTGCATGCTTTGCTATAGAGCCTGGCTGCCTGCGGGGACGGGGGAAGAGCTAAAGGCAAGGCTGATTCGGAACTCCTGGAGCACTTTGCCTGTCCGAGGGATGCGGCCGCCATGGGCTTGTCATCGAACTCCTCAAAGAGCTCGCTGGCCTCAAGCCCAAGCTTTGCGAATGACCTGCATTCCGCCGGATCCCTGCAAGGGGCAATCGGGGCAAGCACCGGCTTGCCGAGCTCAGACTCGATGATCTTGAGAGCACGAGCTCCGCTGAAAGGAGGAACCTGGAGAGGACAAAAATCAAGCGTCGAGCTTCGAAATCCACTTCACGTCCGCCTCGTCTTGCAATGTTTTCAGCTCTTCTATGTACCTCCCCGAAGTTGGAGGCTTCATGAAGAATCCGGGCCCTCGCCTTCACGCTCGCGCATGTCACCTCCGCGAGTGGTGTCTGCAGAGATCACTTCTTTTGACGATGGCATCGATGGCCAGCTCTGGCAATTGAATTTTCAGCCCAACCCATGCTGCTTTGTTGACTATACTGAACCCTTGCATTCAGGGTGTCTTACTCTTCGCCGACGAGTCAAGCTGCCCCAGCACAAGTTTTCAGACTTTCAGAAAAATGAAAGCCTTGAAATGAATGGAAGTCACAGCCCATCTTGGGCCGCTTCCTCATTGCTGTTTCCCTGCGAATCCGTGGCTAATGCTGGCCATGCAAGCGGAAGGGTCCAGACCTGGCCAGTGAAACTACCAGCCATACATCGAACCATATCAGACAAACACACAGAAGGGCGTGAACTGCTGCAACCATTAGCGATCACCAGCGCAGCGACTATCATTAAGATCATCTGACCGATCGTCGAATAGTCATCGAAGCAGTCGCAGCAGCAGCAGAGGCACAATCATCATGGCTCATCTGCAGCATCCGGGCCACCACAACAAAGCCAACGATTTTTGATTGTTGAATGAAGGACAGAGGTGGTTGCGCAATCGCAGAGAACGAGTCGCAATGTCGCAGATTCTGCTGCAAGGACAATGGTGACAATGCGAAGAAAGTAAGTCTGTGCCAACAGTGATACGAGTCGCGGCAAGTGTATCAATCGCGTGCTAGCATACATAGAACGACTTGCCATTTTCAGAGTGGCATTTAAAGTTCTAGAAACACTTAGCAATCACAACAACCGCAAGGAGCAATCGCAGCAGTCTGTCCCATGTTCAATGTAGTAGTACCAGCGCGCTGGAAAGTTGAAACCGAAGCACCAGCCCACTCAGTGAACCGACGTCGCTGCTGAATCAAAGTATTTGCCCTAATATAATGGACTTCCTACCCGTGGCATTTCGGCAATCATGGTAAGAACAGGCTGCGTAAGATGTTTCAGAATCAGCACAGCCAGTGCAGAACATGCTCATAAACCCTATCGAAGTCAGCGGTGGGCTGTGGCACTGGTCATACAAGCCCTTACTTACCACTGCCGTGCTGGAAATTTGCAATACGACACCAGGCCTTCCTGTGATTTTTGGTTTGCTTCAAGTCTCAGAGGCATTGGAAATGACGTGGGAAATAAGGCAACAATGCGACAAGGGGAGATAAGAAAAATCATCTTAACGGGGGCACCACAATAAACTGTAAGAAACAAGCAACAGGAGGCCTGTTTCAACAGATAGAGGACTACTCAGCCCTCCAACCCGTCATACAAACATGCAGACCACACTTGAGAAAAGGGCCACGAAAGCACGGGGAAGGAAGTGCAGCAGGGAAGGGGTGGGGCGACTCATCAAGCGAATCTGTTGCCGCACAGTACTGCGAATCACTCGAGCATGACTTACAAGTGAAAAACTTGCTGGATGTATTGCCTCCTAGTGGGTCAAGGACGTATAGTGATGTGCTCAGTCGAGGCAGCCTACTCTCTCCTTGGTGCCTCTGAATCAATCATTTGCATGGTGGCAGGTGGGGGTTGCTCAAAGCAGCAAATGAGCTCGTAAACGCGAGCTTGACCCTGGCCACTACTACTGAAGTGACTTGGCAAATGACATCCACAGAGCTAGCTTTGTGACAGGTCAACACAATGGTTGCTAGAGAACGATATACAGGAGCTTGAAATTATGCCTCGGCAGTGGCGGCACGTGTGGTCCAAGCCGCTGTTGGTAAGCACCTAGCACATCTGGTGATGGGTAAATCAGCTGCAGGCCTCACAATGAGCTTGATCCGACAACTATTCTGAACATGGGCGGCATACGCTAGATTTTCATTTGTCGCAGTCGAAGCAAGCGGAACGTGAGTTGTTCTCTGCAATTCCGCATCCGTCGGCGTGTGGGCATGCTGTCGCCGCAAACGCAGCACCTGCAGCGATCTTCACCATGTCATCTGCACAGATTTGCAGTTACAGGTAGCCAGCATCTACTCGCACCCAACCGCCTCCTTCTTTGGGACGTAGATGCCACCACCGTCTTTTGTCGGACGTATTCGGACATGCAGCTCATCCTGTTGAAGATTTTTGGCGAGAACAAAAGGCTCAGACGGCTGCCCAATGCCTGCAGCAATTCAGCCACCTCCGACTGGAGGCGACCTCCGTCTGGACTGTGCAGACCTGTACGCGACGTTTACGGCACAAGCGGCACAGACGATATAGAATCTACCCATACACAAGCAGAGAGGGCTTTCATCGAATGCCAAAGGTAGCATGTCGAGGGAACACAGCCAGGTAGACTCGGACAAAGATCCCGCCTCTTCCTGTGACAATTAACAAGGCGCCCTCGACATCTGACCTACTCTTGTCGTCCAATGCTGCGCGGACGGCAGCCTCGAGTCAAGAGCAAGTCTGTCTCCAAAGCCAACATCGGCAACATCGCACGACATGCCTTGGCGGAGTTCGAACTCATCTCGTGCAAGTCAAGCACCTAGGCCAGCACTGAGCCTTGTTTGGCACGCTTCGGCTCAGAGCCGGACATCTTGAGATTTTGTGCAAGCTATGCCCGCAGAAGACCAAGGACATGCAACCGCATCAGCTGCTGAGCACGCAGCGTGGGAATCAGGCTTGTACGGCAGGCCAGTGTGTTCGACCATGAGGCAACGGAGAAGGTATTGGTTGACCTACCGGCAGCCGAAAAAAGCACCTATGCCTTCCGTGTGCACCAATAGACGAAGTTGTACTTTGCTTGCCTTCTGCAGTTTCTTCGCCGCAGACTCGCTTGACACGGCCGCCTGAAGAGAAGAGTGGACAGGTCTATGAAGTGTCATCCTAGCATGCGTCAGGGGACACAAAACAGGGGCACCGGTGCCAGATCAAGAGCGAGTGGCGTTACAGGTGTTGTAAGTCGAGGAATCTGGAATGTGGCCACGCGCTGGCCACTCGTTCTCCAGAACATCAATCGCTACTCGCCACCTGGGTGCTTCCAGACTTGCATGCGACAAAACCCGCTCTCCCCGATTGGGTGCAGGAGGCTGGCTGGTGCCCGATGCAGAGCGCCGTCAAGTGCAGATTCGAGGTGACGAGGCATGGCTTCAGATTGTAGAACCTCGCTGAAGCTTGCTGGGCATGCTGAAACCCGAAACTGCAGGTCCCAGCTGTGGAGATTCCTTCGAAGCCTCTACCAAGTCGATGGTTGACACATAGCAATGTCGCCTATCCTAACTTGTCAGGTTACCCAACATTCAGCCGTCATTTGTCCTTGCGGCCAAGAATCAAAGTCAATAGACTAGTAGAGGCGTGCAAGGTCTGCACGTGCAGAAAGCAGACTGTCCCGAACCAGAAGCAAGTGCTTCCAATCGCTGCTGGACCCGAAGACTAAAACACAGCACCCCAAACTTCCCAAACACGAAACCACAAATTTCAACAGCTCAGAAATCTCTCAAGTCGCTTTAAAAAATGGGGCGAGCGGCTTTCCTCCCAAGTCCTCTACCAGGCCGATGGAGGCAGCCCACTCCGAGGCCATAGTGCAGGCCTGATACTTTGCAAAGAACTGAAGTTCTTGAAGCTCAAAAAGAAGGAAGCATCATATTAAAATGTTCAGATTCATGGTGATTCTCTCATCTTCTCTGTGTTTTTGCTTGAGGGTGGTGGTGATCATCTGATCGCCCGGGGTGCCAACCTACTCATTCACATGCAACATGGACATGGCCTCGACAGTCGCAGTGGGCGAGCGAGGCGAGGATTTCGGTGAGGGGAGTCCATTACAGCTTAGGGTAGCATGATTTCTCGAACATCGATGGGAGTGCAAACTCGCAGCCATGCAAGCGTGCACATGTCGCCTGGGTCCCTGCAACTTTCCTCCGAATAAGACAGGAATGCTGAATGCTCGAATCGAGAAAGCACGTCCGCTCTTCCGGCATATAGACCGGCTAAGCCGACTGCTTTTCCTCTACACAGCTGCGCCTTGCCACACACACACACACACACTGTGGCTTCTTGCCTCAACCCAGCGTGATGTGCGTGACTAATCGGGTGGACAGGGGCACCATCACTGTGACATTTCTGCTTTTTCTGAAATGACACGTTGAAGTAGTTCTTGCTTGAAGTCTGTTGGTGCGACATGCGCCGACGAGTGAAATGACGAGTGAAATCAGCCAGTGGTCTCGAGGCATTGACCCATGTTGATGCTGCAGCCAGTTTGCGACTCCTCCTGCTACCACCACTACCGGTTCCGTGCTGGTTCTACTCCTACCACCACCACCACCGCCGCCGCCGCCGCCACCACCACCACCACCACAACCAGTAGCACTACCACCGGCGGCGACAACGTCCAAATGAGCACCAGTTCAAGCATCCCCTGGCGGATTCTGAAATGAAACTTCCGGTGAAATGGAACTCTACCCACTATTCACTGACAAGTCCCGCCACTGCCTGCAAAGCCATGTTCAGGAACTGTGTGCTGAGCGGGAGGCCTGAGCCAACTCACGAAGACACACCAGCCATGTCTATCCATGTCTCTTCCGTACGTCGAGGCGCTCCGAAGCTTTGCCTCGCCGAAAAGGCCCAAAGCAAAGGCCCAGCTGCCCGGAGAGCCTGAGAGGCTCGGATTTGACGATCCCATGGTTTCCACATGCAGCAAGTGCGGATCCGCCTTCATCCACTTTCACAGAGTCCGCACACACATTGATGGTGGCCCCAAGAGCCATCGTGTCAGGCCGAACCCTTTGTGAACCTCCAGTGTGGCAACCGCATTGTGCCACTGCACGACATGACTGACAGCCATCGTTCATGGGCCCTGAGGTGCACACGCATCTCCCAGCACAAGTGAACAGCTTCACGCCACAGCCTGGAGCACACACCGTCTTCAAGCCGATAAGCCCAATTCGCAGCTGAAAAATCGTCTGTTGCACCAGCTGCGGGAGCTCCCAATGCTGGTACACGGAATTGGGACAAGCTCAGCTTCGCACGATCCGCGGCGACAAGCATGGATAGCAGTTGTGTAACTCACCACATCCGGAGAAAAGTTGACGGCTCGAATGGTTTCCTTGAGCGATGTGCAAAGCAAACGTCACAACGTCGAACTCAAAGGCAATGGGCTAGCATGCCAACAACAAACATCCAACTGCTGCCCGCTCACCAGCATCTGCAAGGCATACTCCCACAAACCCTCCTGCACGGGCCGGCCGTGATGCAAAGCCAGGTATCATGCCAAAAACTGCCCTTTCGGTCTGCAGCCCCGTCAAAGCAACTCCTTCGAGGCCCCTTTCAGAATCGTGTTGTACCTTGCCGGGTCTGAGAAGCTGTCACTCACTATCCTGATTCAAACCTGCCACCAAGCATCGAATCCAGGTCTGGCCGAACTGAGTAGTCCGGCATGCCACCGAACAGGTCATATGCCTGCCAAAGCTGAGATTTAGTTGGAAGATGCAGACGTGCACCACTCACGCCCGCAAGCGAGGCAATCAAAGGCAGACCGGCAGGTGGCTCCTATGCGCCTTGAGCTTAGAACTCCGCTTCTTGCTTGCTTGCTTGCTTGCTTGCTTGCAAGGCGTTTGGGGCCAAGGGTTACCCCCTGAACCCCTGGGCGCTAGCGCTACGCCACTGTCCCGGTGGTCTGTTGGAGTGAGACAAGCTGAGGGTCGGCACTAAGTGAGTGAACTCCGCTTCTCTCTCTCTTCTTCCACATAGACAGAGAAAGGGCACAAGCGCACCCCTTCCCGTGCGGCGTCGCGCCCTGGTCTCCAAGGTCTCTGCTTATTTCTACAAGATGAGGCCCCCTGTCGTGCACTGTCTCTCTCTCTCTGGGTCTCGGGTCATTTCAGGCTTCGCAAGAGGAATGACATGACATGGTCAGCTCATCTGCCAGGAGTGCCTGCTTCAACTGCCCACAGTCGATGTAAGCGCTCATTGCGGTGTTGAGCACGACCTAGGCATCGTAGCAAGATAGAAGCAGATAGTTGCACGAAGGCTGAAGTTTGTACATACAAGCAAGATGAGAGGCCGACCGTGTTTGGAGCAGTACTGATGCTGACCATGTCCTGATCCAGACGTGTTCGATTTTCGGGAGGCAGGAGAGACAGACACAAATCGCATGGACCCGAAGCATCGGCACGCAGTCCTCGAGCAATTTGCTTATGATGTCAAACTGGCCCTGACGCAAGTTGCAGCAGTCTATGGCCAGGCACCCCTCACCGCACAGTTTGCAGTACGTTTCAATGCAATCATGATTCATCCTGTGCTTCGGGTCCTGTCGTTCAAGGCTTAGGCGGTCTGCCTTAGCCTGGTGTGGATTAGTTCCAGCCATTTGGATGAGGCCATCACGGAAGCGATGCCCCCGTATCGAAGCCCGTGGGATCTTCAACAGCCGGTTTCCGGAGGTTCAGCAGTCTACAGTTTTAAAGACGACATAGAACCACGCTGCATTGTGTGCAGCATCACGGCATGTGGCAGTGGTGCGTGGCTGGGCAGGAGGGAAAGAGGTCTGCAAGGTGGATATCGGGTTGAGGCCTGGCCACCACAGGCGGCAATCACCGCGCTGAAGACAGTCACGCCGGGCTGCATGCTTTGGCTCCTGCGAGAGGCACAGCGGAAATCAAGGTGTGACAGCTCTCACTGTGCAGATGAGCCGTACCTCATGTCTTGCAGTAGGCGAAGAATCCGTGGCAGCTGATCCACCTCCAGGCTGTGCAGCAGCGAATTTGTCAGCACAGTACCCAACAAAAGTGCTGTCCGTGAACACTTGGGAGAACTCCCGCAGATGAGCATTGCCGGTTGGCTGCCTCTGCCTTGTTTAGAGCTTGCATGACGGAGAGGCATGTCACCTGGACGAGAGTCGATATCGACGGCAGTGCAGTAAAGGTCTCTTCCTCCCACTCAACTCGTCAAGACTGGCTGAAGTCATGAACCATAGAAGCAGGTCTTCATGTCTCAAGCGGCCTCATTCGCCCGAAGGGAATAATGCGGCAACTTCGCAAACCTTGCAGTGCAAAAATGACATAAGCTTGCGACTGCTTTGCCAATGTCGAAAACATGAAGAATATAATGAATGCAAGCTACACACTGTGTGATTGCGGGCTACATGCACTGCTCGGGTCCTGTGTACTGTAAGGGCGTGGCAACCCCAAGGCATGCTGCCAGTGGTTGCTTTGACCACACGCCTCAAGTTTCAAGACGACACACAAGTTATGCAGAACCTTGAGAGCTCGTACTCTCTGCTGTGAACCTGAGCACGCAGCTTGAATCGCAGCATTGAAAGTCACTGCAGTTAGCATTGAATTCTTTCGCCGTTTCAGGTCTCGAAATAAGGCAAGCGATGACTGCCAAAGTGTAGCATCTGCACAGGCGCTGATAGCCTGAGATCATGACCTACCCGCCTGCAGATATTTAAACAACTATGCCATCTTCTCAGAAACGAGCGATGTGAGAACTGGAAAGCTTGCGGCCAGGCGACAACATTGAAGCACATGCTGTCTGGAACAGGTAGGAACGATTTTGGAAGATCAAGCCCAGACCGCCGACGCTTTGCCGACATCTCTGAAAGAAGATGAAGCACGTGCGGCCACTTGCCTGTGCAAGAGGACAAAAGGACACTGCACAGTTGCTGACCGAAGCACAGGCACGTTTGGGATGAAACAAACCGTGCTGCGTACGTTTCTTGCGCTAGCTGAGAAGGAAGCGCTGCTTCAATTACAAATCTGACAAAATCTGGCGCGCGATCTTGTATAATCCCCTCTGAGGCTGCAGTCCTCACCTGCACTTCGAAGAGCATGCAACACCGTAACGCAAAGGTAGATGTCCACGTTCACCGCCAAGCCGGCTTCACCGCTTTGACCGGTCTGCCAAAACATGTGCAGAGCCTGCACAATCTCTCGGTTTCATGGTGTCAACTTAGTATACACTCACCATCCATCTGATCAAACTTGCGGGCTTGCCTCACACCACCTTCTAGCAGCACCCATCGCGGCAATCACGCTCGTCAAAGAGGCGGCTGTGGGTCTCACTTCTGCGTTCATTCGGTTGAAGTGCGCCAGCGCCTCTCAGAGGGAAGCTGCTCTCAGCAGGGCCATACGATGCACAAAACGGAACCCATGGTTCATTCCTGAGCAATCCAGCATCGGCCTCAGCCCAATGAGAGCTTCGAGAGGAAGCATCCAAGACGGCATTATGCATCTTTGCATCAGCTCGCACTGCTTGCTCGCCTTCAAAAAGGCGTGTGTACATATATGTTCGCATGCTACCTTTGTCTCTCGCGAGCTCTTCCTGCCTAGACTTCGCAGGCTGGCCAACGCCTCCCGCCAATCGCTTGCCGCAGAAAGGACGTCCATTGCGTCAATCTGCATCTGTCTGCGCCCCACCTGGAGGTCACACTTGCAGCATCTTCCGGGTGCAATATGACCCCAAACGTGCCGCGGCCACTGGATTCGTTTTCTTAACCCTTCATCTTCAAAGCTTGTGTTTTCGTTCAGTACATGCGCTCAGCTTGGTGCGAAGGAGTCTCTGCTGCAATTGACGGAGTGGTACAGCACCACTGAACTGGTCATACAGTAACAGCGATCTTGCTGGCAGCTCCCTTACTTTCTGGGGCGCAGCCTAGCTGCTAGCTATGCCCAGCTGGCACTGCAATGAGATTTCCAAACCAGCTCAGGAGACGCCAAAACCACGGAAACAGAACATCTGCTGATACTGGTGGACGGGCTCAGTTTGCGGTATAGTGCACTTCTTCCCAAAGGGCAGCCCAGCATGATCTCTGACTCTGGAGGGTGTTTATCAAGAACCTCCTACTCCCCCTCTCCCTCCCTTCCATCAATTCGTGCAATGGTTCGCGGCGAGCTCCTAATAACTGCGCCGAGTAGCTGGAAAAAAGGGCCCTAACAGGTAACAGAGATGCATCCAAGTCAGCTTTGATTCCGCACTGTTGTTTGGATGGGTCTGTGGAAGGCTCAGCAACCGTTACCGCAACAGTAGGCGCGGCAACGCATCGCTCACTCTGCGTCGGCGGCGCGCCATCTCGCTCCATACTTTGTGGCTGTGCTCGGGTAAGCTGCAAGGACACGCAAAGGACAGGCGGGGATTAGACAGCCGAGCTAATGAAATGCCCAACTCAGACCAGTGTAGTCTACATCCCCCGGTCGAGTTCCTGCTTTAACCGCACCACCCCTGTGCACAAGCGCCTTGGCACAAAGACAGTTCGAGGTTGCTCGGGGTTGCCGTCAAAATATGACCGGACAGCCTCAGTTGCGCCCTGCGCATGAAGTGGTGTGGGAGGCCAAAGTGTGAAGCATTTCGCTGCAGATGGAAAGTCACTGTGGATTGGATGAAAGCTCTTTGGAGTCGTTTCCCGTGTTGGATTTTTCGTGGGGCTGAATGGAAAACGAAGCCTCCTAGTTGCTAGCAGCCTGTGAATGCTGGTCGTGGTGAGTGCCGTGGATTTTGTGCGATGGGTGAGCCCTTGTGTGCAGAGCATGCAAGATTGTCTTGCAAGGCCCTGGCAGCTTCTGATTTCTCCACGCAGTCTTGCATTGCCTCAGCGCAGCCATCACTAAAACATGCGAGGGCTTCCTCGTGGTCGGAGCAGCAATCGAGGCAAGCACGGCATCGAGAGCAACATGCCGCCGGTGCATCGTCTCCGCAAGAGCCAACACGTGCTCCCACTGCCTGGCAGAAAAAAACCTTCCGAGAGGAAACCTCATTCCCAACCCCTACCTCGCTGACCCGAGTGCCGCCGCAGCAGAGTTGTAGCTGTAGATGCTTGGCTGAAGCCTCGTCTACACACAAGACACAAAGAGACTCAGGGCTGGGAGTCGGGCCTCTGCCGCGGCAGCTGGTCCAGAAGCTCAAGTGCTCGCTCCCACTGCAGGCCGTAACCACACACGCCGATAGCAGTGTTGATGATAGGCAGATCCAACACCACACCTGGTCCCGGAACATCTTCCCTCCAAAGCTCTGAAGACGGGACACGTCACACATGACACATGCCATGCCTGAGTATGCCTGGACCTGGACAACTTCCCACAGAAGACCTAGATTTACATTCTAGCATGCTCTGGACTCTAACGGCTCTCGTGGACGCCCAGCACTGACAAGGAGTCCGTTCGTCTTGCCCTCCTGCCTTCGGTATGTCAGCCATACTGGCACTCATGGTAACCAAGACGCAATGGCAAAGATTTGAAGGAACAAACTTGCAACAAGGAAGGCGGCCGCTGCCGGGCCTGCGTCTTCGGCCATGGAAAGCAAGCCCAGGGCCTGCTTCCAGAGCCCCTGCCGCCGCAGAGCTCCGATCGCTGAGGTGTAGATGGCCGGGCGAGGCTTGGGAGAGCCTCCAGGAGAGGGCCCTTCAACGGTTGCAGAGTTCTGCTGTGCTCTGCTGCGATCTTTCCTTCTGCGGCTTCTATACTAACGCGAGAGAAGCAGCACGGAAACTGCTCCTCTTGATGCGGTTTCTGTGACGATGGCACGCATCACGGCTCTGCATCAAATCAAAAATACTAGAACCAAGAAGATGAAAGCCTCGAGCAGCCGCCCTCTCCAATTGCACCAACAACTGGAGGCTCCGTTGCCACTGGTCACCTGCACACTTGCAAACTCAGGATGAAAAGGACTGAGGACATGTTGCACCCAAACCAGGTCCAGAAGTCCAGAAAAGTCCAGATCTGATGTCTTGAACTCTCTTGGGATCTAATCTGATAGGCCTCGAGCCAGAGCAATGAGGGTGCACTCCATAGCCTCCAGGAGCAAGACCGACGAGGGGCACGACGACAAGAGTGGTGTAGCTTTGGCTAAGACTTCGGCGACATCTGCTGGCACACGGGTCTGGAGAGACTCTGCAAGCAAAGCCACAGCCTGTCATAGGAAAGCGTGGCAACTTCAGAGCCAGATCGAGCAAGCAACCGACTGAAGCACTCACGGCTCCTTCGGCCAGTTTGATGTCTTTCCTGGCAGGACGAGGACGCACCGTGCCAACAGCCACGCCACGCATCACAGCATCATGAAGTCTATCCGCCAAGCTGCCACATTGCAAAATCCGCGGGACCAGCACCTCGTACTGGCTCGGAGTTACTTTGACGAGTCACTGTGTGACATGTCGCGGACTGCGGCCCTTCTTTGCCTTCTCGGTCTTCGGCTTCGGCTTCGGGCGCTGCACGGGGGCAGCTCGACCCTTGCGGGAGGTGCGCTCGGAATGACGCGTCGAACACTACAACTACGATGCAGATGCATCAGCTTCAACACAAAACCACGGGGAGATCAGAAACAACAAACTGATACCTGAACCGAAACATAGTCAAGCGCCGACTCTGCAAGCTAAGCTGCCCAAGCCTGAAGGATCTGCAAGGGCGACTCCATGGCTCCATGTCTGCTGCATATCTTCGGGGTTAATACATGCTTCACTCACCAACATCTAAGATTGAAGTCTCGGGCCATTTGTTGGATGAAGGTGCCCATCTCCGGACACAGACAAAGAAAGGGGCGTCATCCAGACCACGAGGCTGGGTGCGAATGTGCCTAGCCCATGCTGAACATCAAGCTGATAGCTTCGGGCATTTGATGCAGATGCTTCAGTCACCTACGATATCTCTCAGCTGCAAAGCCAGAGTTGGCTCCTCATGGCTCCTCTCTGTCCAACACTTCTGACATGTCATGACAGATAGCTGAACTTTAGTCGCGTCAGGATATGACTCTGTGACCGGCAGTGCACGATTGTCTACATGAGCCGTGGCGAGGAAGGCCTGGCCGTGCAACTGGCTCCAGCTGCGTTCTAGGCCTCATGTCTGGGTGGGACAAGATGTACACATGGTGCATGCACTGAGGAAGGCACCAGCGATCGGCGCATGGTGCTGCCACATTCGGCATGTTTTCTGCACCTTTCTGGGCAGGAGGCCCTAAACCCCATAGACGAGGATGGCAGAAGGTGGAGGGGGGCCCTGGGGCAGCGGCTGGACCAGGAGCTTGCAGACCTGCCTGGGTCTCCTCTTTGTCAGGGAGTCTCTTCACCGACGCGCCAAATCGAAACGTGCCCCAGTCCTGGCCAAGATGGCACCTCTGGAATGGCTGCGGCCTGTGGGAAAAGAGAAGTTCGGTCACAGTTGGGGGCACGCGCACTTGAAGGGTGAGCCTCGAGCAAAGCTCCTCGTAGGCGCCCATATGCCTCACAAGCCTCTGGCACAGGAAGTGCAGCTTCTGCTCCAACACGTCGCGGGCGGACCTCTTCCTGCAACTCAATGACACCAGGACCAGCCGGCATGGCAGCCTTGGCAAAGTACATACGACGCCTCAAGCCGAATCACTTGGCTAGCATATCGCTGCAAGCCACCCCTTGAATAGTATCGAGCTCTATACCAGCAGGGGCTCAAGTTGCTCCAGCGACTGGAGCAATGTCTGCACCTCGTCGCATTCGAGTGTTGTTGCACTGTTGCGCTATTGCGCTGTTGCCGCAGTCAGTCCTGAGGCCCGTTCTGGTGCATCTGTCACTGTGGCATCCCGGCGCACCTACTCACTCGCATGCTTGGTGATGGTGACGCAGTGAAGCATGTCTGCTGTCTGCACTCAGCCAAGGACGCGCAACGACGCCGCCTCGAGGCACGCTGAATCGGTGGCTGGCCTGCGCTGACCACTTCTTCCACCTTCTTGGCGGATTCCAGCTCGGCGCGCAGCTCCGCATTCTGTCGGAGAAGCTCCTTCAATGCATGGCCAAGTCGACAACTTAGGCCGAGCTGTGTGTCAGGATCTGAACGCAAAATTACGTATGCGAACCACCCGGACTGGAAACCCAACAGACTCTTCCAAAGCCTCCTGGGCAGCTTGAGCTCGCTGAGATCGCTGCGCTGAACCTCCACGACACAACAGGGCTTGGTTTTGAGAGGGGACTCTCTGCTACATGACAGAAGCTCACACATTTCACAGCAACGACCATCTCCACCAATTAGGGCTCGGGGCTGAGCAGGGGATAACGTAGAGATTCTGGTCTGCAGACATGAACCATTTCCTGATCCTGGGTGTCTGCTGGGCCACGGGCTGGGAGCCTGAATAGGGGCAGGCTCGGACTTACCAAACCCGAACACGAAAGACCTCAAGCGCAGCAACGGGTTAAAGGGCTTTCGGACAATTATCTTGCAAGGAACCACTGTGGATGACGGCCAGCCTCCTGGATGTGTTGCATCTCTTGACACTCTCTCCAGCGCCTCAGTTTTAAAGATCCTCTACGTAGTGTTCTTTCGTCGAAGACTGCTACAACTGCCGGCATGTCTTGATTGCACTGCTGGCACTGCTGGCACTTCTTTGTTTTCCGACTATTGGTGACACTGCTTGGTATATTCCGTCGCAACAGTGTGTCAGCTGTTGACGACTCTAGCCGAACGGCCTAACAAGCCCATTTGCTCGCAAAGCAAAGCAGGAGGGTATTTACAAACTCCCACGTTCGGAGCAAAGCCTCGAACGCAGCAGATCAATAATCTTGGCCACCTACCGCAGCAACTTTGTCCTGTGTTGGCAGCCTGTAAAGCAATGTGATCCAGTACTGGGGAGTGTGGCCGTCATGAGCCCCACCCCACGCAGCCCCGCCTCAAAAAAAACCGAAGTACTGACAGTACTCGTCCGCTCTGCTTCCATGCCGAAGCAAGCCCTCTTGCCACGGTTGCCGATCCGTGGTCGGCCGTGTGGTCCAAAGTGAGGGGTGATTGGGTTTAGGGTCGAGGGGTTCAGGGCCGGGGGTTTGGACCACGTGAAGAGAGCGCACCGCACTCACAGCAACTCGAGTTCACGCCCCCTCACATCTTCTTGTGCTCCATGGGGACCACAAGCCGTAAAATCTTTGGCAGACCTGTCGGCAACTGTGGCAGGGCTCTTAATTTAATACTGAGCTTGCCTTAGTTGAATCCAAGCACCTCTGTGGTGATCTTCAGAACCGTTGCAGTGCTCACCCCCTTCATCTGCGCAATCTTGTGCGCAAGCTCCGGAATATCCTGAGTCGCCACATAGGTCATAGGTGGAGCATAGAGCGCTCTTACTGGAGCAAAAAGGCCCACAAGTCTGCCCGAGACTAGATGCTAAAGTTCAAGGCTCCGAAGGATGAGGCGCCAAGTAGGGGGCATCCGTCTCCAAAACCATTCGATCCAATGGACAGTTCTTTGTGATTCGCTCTGCTCCCTCGCTGCACCAGACCATGCTACTCACACCGAAGATGCAGTTGGGGAATATCTTCAGCGCCTCTTCCAAGAATTCTGTTCCTCCTTGAAAGGCATGGATATAAACCTTGTGCTGCCGAGGCAGGGTGGATTTCAGGACGTGCATTGTGTCGTCGTCAGCATCACGGGCATGGACGACTACAGGAAGATTGAAATCCTCGGTGTTGAGCACACGAGCGCCACTGCCAGAATATGCCGAACGGATGGGGCAGCACAAGCTCAGGACACGACTGTCCCCATGCGGATCTGGCGTGCGAAAACGTTCAACATTTGCTGCCGTTCGGCAGGTATTAAAGACCTTCAAAGCGCGGCTCTCAGACTTCAACCCTCGCTGGAAGGCGGACCCAAACTGATACAGGCACATGTTGCGAAGGGCTACAGAGGACTGGGACCGAGTGCTGATGAGAGGCTCGTCGTAGTTCTTCCAATAGTCCAGTCCGCACTCGCCCACCGCCACCACTCTTCGGCCACACGCTTGGATTTCCTGATGCAACATTGCATTGGAACACGCATGTTCGGGCCACTCTGCAACGCGGGACATAAAGAACCTCGAGCCAGGAGTCTGCACGCAGCCGCTTTTCGGCTTCATCCGAGAAGTCTCGGTAGTCATGCGGATGGCATCCAATCGTGCAGTACACCGAGTCGAGACCCAGCTTCTCTGCGACGTCGATGATAAGCTTTGTGTCTTCAATGACTTCCTTGTCGAAGCGTACTGCGTGCCCCAGTAAGCCAAGCATGAAACCAAGAGAGCAAATGCTGCAAAGAACACAACATGCCAGCTCAAGACAGCAGGTCCCTGAATTGTCTCTTGCTGCATTAGGGGGAGACTTCGTGGACGCTGCAACTGAAGTGTGATATGCTTTGGGGGCAGTTGGTGGCGGCTCCAGCGTGCAGAAGCCTCGCTGGAGTCCAACGGAAGGCTTCTGGCCAAGTAACGCTCCGATTTTTGAAATTGCCGAGTCTCCAGTTCACAGCAGTTTGTAATCAAGGACCTGACATCTCAGCATGACTTAATCACGGCACCCCTCAAAATCACAGCTGCATACTGATCTTGAATCGCCTCAGCATGGGCTCACTGCGTCTGGCTGCTCGTCCTCGGCCAGGGCTGTATGCTCATTCGACCGGCTAGCAGCTTAGCACGGGATCCAAGATGCGCTGGAGCTCGGAGAGGTAAGGCTCCACATGCTCCGACGCGAGCATTCGTCGAGGCTCCAGTTCCTCGCAGCGCTCGCAGCATGTAGCAAAGCCCCACACATCTCCACGCAACAGCAGTCCTGTTCTCCGTGGGCAAAATGGCAGTCCTGCAGAGCAGCTGACCCCAGCTCACCCTTGACAGATCAAATCCATCAACGAAGTGCGGCCTATGCTAAACGCTCTGCTTTGCCTTGCCAACTTCAGGGGTTGCATCTGTGCGAGTACTTGGGGGGATGCTGCTGCGATTCACCATCGGCATGGCATGCTAGCTGTGGCTGGTTGAACAGTACTTACACAGACGCAAATGAACAACCTCTCGACACTAGCTGCACTAGCTCGTTCAAGCTCCCTTCGTACATGGTGGCTACACCCAAAAGCAGGCACACACCATTGCCGAAGACAAGAAATTTGGGAGTCGAAGCGCTGTGAACGAACTCGGCCTCTTGGCTGTCGAATGGGCGGCAGACACCACAGACAGTGTGACTGGAGGTTTCCAACAACTAAGCTTGCTGGAAGTGCAAAGCACTTTCCTTTGCATCGTTCAGTGAGAGTTCTGCAGAAAACACATGGATGAACGAAGGCTCCTTGTAATACCAGCACTGGCCGGCAAGCCAATTCCTCGATAGGAGAAGACTACATTGACATCATTATAGGGCTATCGGGTTTGCGACTTAGTCTCCCTCGCATTGCTGTCACGTGACCCGGTACTATCATCCATGGGATTGAGGCCGAACACTTTGAACGCTGCAACCACTTATTGCAGAAGAGTGGCTTGCAGATTTTCTCTTTCGTGCCCTGCACCAGGCCACCAACAAATTAAGTAAATCAAGCACGACAGCAAGGACCCAGGGATGAAGAAACACCCAAGTGGCCAATAGGAGTGTTCAGCCAAGTCGCCCACTGAGTGCCTGCAGCACTAGCCGTGAACGAACTGTGCATACAAACGGCAACTTTGCATTGCCCAATCGCAGTCCCAGAAACCGCCATTCAGTCGGTTGTGCAGCAGGATGTCCAGATGGCAATGGGCATCGCAATACGAAAGGTCACTCAACTCAAACCTTGGCGTACACCCACTCTCAAGCAAAGGCAGGAGAAAGGGGCAGATTCTGCACTTCTGCGATCTTCTGCGCTGCGCCGCATCAAGATCCAGGCCCGATGGCCCCTCATGTAAGGACCTCACAAGTCCTTGGAATCCAACTGCGGCTGCTGGTACACCTTCTGCACCTCCAAACTCAGAGGAACACACCCTAAACGGCCCTCAACTCCGACCTTGGCAGGGCCTCCAAAGGCACGGCGCCAGGGGTGCAGCAGGGGCAGCCATCCCGGATGCTGAAGGCTCGCCTCGGTTACGATACTCTGTGGCATAAAAAGAGCTGTCGCGGCAAACAGAACCGGCATCCTTCCATATCCTTCCCGATTATCCAGGAAGATGGGAACGGCGACACCAAGGTCAGGCGCGGCGAGGATGGCGGCGTGCCGGGCACAACTCCACTGTCAGGGCGCACGACGGGCGCACGACGTGCCCACGCACCACTTCGTCGACGACTATTCATTCGGCGCGTAAGACGCCCTGCGGGTCTTCGGCCGCTCCTGTTGAACGCTTATGGGCAGTGGCCGGTGAAGCACCCGTCGCACTCGGGCACATTCTTGACGGCCCCCCGACTGTCACCAATGGGGCTCCAAAGGGCTATGTGCTTTGGCGCTGCAGCGTCGGTATGGAACTTTAACCGAGCAGCGGATGCCTTGCAGGCGCTCAAACCCTTTCCGTCGACATCGACGAGTTGGCGAACGGGGCCTTCGACGGAATGGCGGAGTTCCTCGATGGGGCTGCAGACGAAACCGTCGAAGGCACAGAAGCCGGCCGCGGAACATGTCATCCAAGTCGTTCTGGTGTCGATCCGAAGCGACAGGGTGGTGCTGCAGCCCACTCCGGTGAGATCCAGCGAGGATCAAGAAGATCATGGCCACCGTCGACGAGGTGCTGGAGAAGGACGACCTGGCACCACCCCCCCGCCGCCAACAACTTCCTCACTGAGTCCACCTTCGGCGCGGTCGGGAAGGCGGTGCTCCAGCCGGTTTACGTACGAGCCCACGACGCGGCGGCCACGTCCGTAACTGCACTCCGGCGGGACTTCAGGCGGCGCTGAGCTGGACGTCGTGGCCGGCCAACGTCCAGGCGAAAGTGGGCCCCGGGACGGCGGCCATCATCTACGCCGATGCTTTCTACCAGCACGAAACAAGGCACAGGGCCGGGCATTTTTGGGCGGAGGTGTCAAGCCCGGCACCAAAGGCCACAAGCCTCATCTTCGCTTCATGCTGAGCTGGGCAGCGACTACTGTCCAAACGGTCGGAAGCTCGCGGGGATTCGCGGGGTCTGGAAGATTCGGTTTAGTGAACTCAGGCACGTGCAGCCTTCCCCGGCGAAGCCGTGACATACCCACCGGGCATCATGGCAGTGATTAATATCGGCCAAGAAAGAGGCTTGTGTGTGCAGTTGACCTCCGCTGGCCTCGCACGGCCCCCATTGAGCAAGTCGTCGCGACGACACACCGCATCGCTGCCGACTTGCTGAGAAGGTTGGGCAATTTTGGGGCCAGACATCCCATGCCAGTCAGGCAATTAGCGGTTTCCCGGAGGATCCCGTGCGGGCAATGCTGCAGTACATGGTTCTCTCGGGTCCTGCAGCAAGCCGGCCCCTCTCTGGCACATTTTGGCGCGGTGGGCGCTCACGAGGGTTGCGGGATGACAGGGCACTGTCTGTGTTTGTCTGTGTTTGTCACAGTTTCTGCGTGCACAGCGGACCACCAGCCCGAAACGTTCTGGTGCTGGAAGCTTCTTGTAGCTTCGCAGGAGGTCTCGCAGCCGTCACAGTTTCAACCTTCCCGATGGGCTGATATTGTTCATTATTACTCTCAATCCTTGAAGGCATCAGAAGACAACATCAGGAACGTTCATGCATGCTGCTATCTTGGCAGAGCAGCTTGAGTGGAAGAGCCTTCCGCCATGTTCTTCGTCCGCCTCTGTCAAAGTTGGAGGCTGCCGGAAGGGGAGGCGGCATGGCATGCCACTGGTCCCAGCAGGACCAGCAGTAGCGCTGCCCATTTGGTGCCTGAGATCTGGCATCTCGACAAACTTGTAGCAACTTCAGCTGGATTAGAGTGTGCTCGAAGCAGTGCCAAGCTGCATTCCATCCGCGCTTACACTGTGCCCCACACTCGCTGCAGGCTTCCTGCTGCGACGAAGATGCATCCCAGGTGCTCCTCAGAGAAAAGCCGTGCACAGCTTTGCAAGCCACTGCATACCGTGGATACACATCTCTGCTTGACTCTGGACTCCGAGTAATCATGCTGTCAGCCGGGGGATGGTTTGTGGACCTGAAAATCCAGCACACTTTCAGCCGGCTACTCCCGAACCTTAGGGCCCTCAGATCCACAGCTTTGGGCAGACATCCCTTGCTGTGTTGTAGCTAGAGTGCAGACGGGTGGCCACCAAATACCTCCTGAGTTCGTCCACCCACTACCTCTGCCAAGGAAGTTGTACTTGAGTAGAGGTTGATGGCCTACGCCACATCCATTCCGTTTTGGCAGTGGTGCCAACACTATGTGCTTGTTCCGGCGTTGTGTGCTGTGCAGGTGCTCTCTCTACTCGCTGCATCTCTGAGATGTTCACTGGTATCTTGAAAATCAGCGGTGCGTCGTTCAGCTCATAACTGAATGACTTTTTGGCTTTGAACGACAAGAGACACAGGCGACAGAGCTCAAGACAACATGGCTAGACGTTGCAGCTGCAGCTTCTTAGCGTCTTAGTGGTGTTGCTCGTCTACAGCATCCGGTCCATGACCTGATTGGTTTGCCCTCACACTTGGCCTTCACCTCTTGCCGCATTGCCATGGGTTTGCTGCCCAGCCGCTATTCCTTGCTTGAGTTTGCCACACCCGATTCCTCCCTTCCTTTATCAAAAACACGTCACAGGTTCAATACAACAGAAACAAGCAACAAGAGAATGGAAAAGACACTTGTAAGACACAACAGAGCTTCGATCAAACGGCAGCACACAGGCTCTTTGCTCTTCGGCAACACAACAAGTTGCGTGTCCACTTACAGAAGATTCCATCAGCTGATCCCAAATTGGCAAAAAGAGTTCAAAAGAGCGTAGGCTCGCCCCCGATGGAACCGCTTTCGGCAAGTCGCCTTGCCCTTGCGTCATTTCGTCGAGGCGATGCGAAGCAAAGCTTCAGAACTTGGAGACTGATGTCTGTTGGCAATTGGGTTTTGGGGTGTGGTCTGCGCATCGTCGGTTGTAGTCGCGGTGTCTGCTGAATTGCTGCGAGGTGGGCTATTTGTCTGCAGCCGTGCCGCACGGCAGGGAAGATTAGACTACCAGGATCGTTGGCTCATGAGTTCCAGGACAAACTACGGTAACCTGGGACTGGGAGCCAGCTGCAACGCTTTGCATGCTTGGCCCGAGCCCGTGGCTGCAGAGAAACTCAGGACCAAGCAGAGAAACTAAGCGATACACTGAAGAAGTCTGGCGCTCTGTTAGAGGCCCCTGGTAACTCTTAGGAGGCTTGTCAAATCCTCTGAGGATTTCTGAGTCTTTGACAGCGAGGCTCTCCTTGCAGCCTCTCACGTCCAGGCTCAACTGGTCCATAAGGCTGGTGCACCTGGAGACAGTGTATTCTGATGGGCTGCACTGAAGTTTCGGCAGTTGCCTGAGCCTCGCACTGCACCATGCTCTGCTGAGCCTTATGCAAGTTCTGCTCCATCTCCTGCAGTCGCTGAGCTTTGAAAGCTTTGAAGAGAGCGAACCCGGCCTTGATCTGGTCATCTCTGCTTTGCACCCACTGGTGAACCAAATCCAGGCAAAACACGAGGTGGAGCATGCCTCCCAGAACCTCACAGGCCACAGGAGGAAGCCGCTGATTGGTGCTGTGCAGAAGTGTGCGCCTCCGGATTCTTAGCATACATCGCCGCATGCTCCACGGTGCTCTCCTTCTAAAAAAAGATATGAATCCCGCACTTCCGTTTTTGGAAGAGTCGGAATCCCGGAAACGTTCGGCGAACGTTCGGTGCCGCCTGCACCTCGCGCAAGTCCAGGGCCAGGCGCTGCTCCGCCTCCTGGGAACGAACGGCCAGCAGCCCACTCCTCTTCTCCTCCTGAACCCTCTCTGCTCCAACCTTCAGAGACTGCTGCAGCGCTCTGAGCCCCTCTTGGCCGTAAGCCGCACGGGCCCTAGCAAGCGAGGAATCGAGGCTCAAAAGCCACAAAACCCAGTGGCTGGGCCCAGACCTGCCATTGGCGAGGACTTGCAGCGCAGCCTCAAGCCGCAGCCTGCTCGCAAGCAGCTTCTCACGAAAAGCGGTCACAAAGCCACGAATCGCGTCTCCTCAGGTTCCGTGGCGTCTCACATTCAGAGCTTGGGCTCATCGACTCCCAGCTGCGCAGCTGGGCCCACGCCACTACCCCTATCTTCGTCAGCTTCCGAGGCAATTCCCCTCTGTGCTGTGTGCTCATACTCGCTGCCAAGAAGCTAAGCTTGCAGCTTGGCGAATGGTTCATCTCTGTTTGTGGATGGCCGCATGAGATGATGCACGCAATCATGCCAGCACAGTCTGCTTCAGCCAGGAATTCGTGAAAACAATCGCGGTTGACTGCGCAATGATGCAATGATCTGCGAAACTACTAGATCGGTCGCACTCCTTGCGCACAAGGTCCTGCCAGGCACGAGAGAACAAAAGGCAATGTCTATGGAGGACGACCCAATCCTCACGGCAGGAGAGGATCTGCCCCAGCTTCACGTAGGTAGGCCCAAGTCTCACGAGTTCCTGCCGAGAGCCGACGCGACATGGGGCGATCTCACAAAGAGCCTAAACGGGCCATAACATGGGGGCCATCTTCTCACGGGATTCCGGCAACCCATCTGTGTTTTTGCAACTGTGTTCTGAACCAAACGGTTAAACACGGCAGCAGCACTGTCACAGCTCTCTTGCCGGCTTTGGTGTGGATGGCAGACCTCATCAAAGCGCAAGATGTTATGTTTCAGCTAATGTCTTGAGTATGCAAGTCGCAAGGCGTCCTTAGGTGGAGGCTTCTTTGCTTCGTCCTGTGAACAGCCCATGCATCTCAAAGAATCTCCGAGCTTTGCCGATCTCCCAGCCGATGCTTGATTGAAATACGTAGCACGAAAAAAGGCAACCAGCAGCATATGGAACGAACATGTCTTGAGGCGAGGTCACTGTCGAGTACTCTAGGGAGCCGACACGCATGAACTTCGCGCGCAAGGCGATGAGGCCCACCCGGGCAGCCCCAGCCATGAGGGACATGAAGCGAGCATTCGGCCTCCCATGGCAATGAGGCCCAGATTCCGGGTCTGGGATAGAGCGGTTTGTAGGGCCTCTTCGCGAAGCTTGCCCATCTCTCCTGCATCTCGTCACCTCCCCAGTCGATGCTCTCGAGATGCAGACATTGAACCGACAAAAATAGGCGGCGGACCGTTTCCAACCTCTTGCTTGTAGCCACGCAGCACCATGAACGTGCTGAACCTGAAGAAGCTAACTGTTGTAGACGGCACAGTCCGGATGCAATCAAAAATCAGATTCATTGCCGACTATCCCGCTGAACATGGCGCCGATGACCCTCTTTGCATGTCGGTCGGAGATCTGACTGAGACGAGTGCAGCATTAACGCGCTGGGAACTCCGAGCATCACCTTCAGCACGGTGCCCGCCTGTCCGGGTGGCAGTGAAAACTCTCCTTCTCGATTCAAGAGCCCGCGTCGCCTCTCGAGCCGTGCGTGCTGGGCGAGCCTGTTCAGCAGTGACGCAGCGAACCCTCCACTCTCCACATTGCTCGCGTGTCAAGCAGCATGCCCACAGTGTCAGGCCAAGCCAGGCATGCATGCATGCAGACAAATACTGACTGTGTCAATAACATATACAGTAACTTGAAAACCTATGCTGAAGCCATGCAGCTTCCCAATTGCAGAGGCACGTGCGGGCGTACGAGTTTCCCACTGCCCGACCAGCAACGACTGTCCTCAGCATGCCAGCTTGTCACCAAACACTCAGTGCGCTCTGCCACGCTTCGTGGATCTCCAACAGCATTCCAAAGCACGCAATCAAGACAGGCAAGGGGCCTGCGCTGTACGCAGCAGCTGGAGACATCGAATGCGCACGCGGCGGCACTGACTTGGCCTGTGCAGAAACTTTACCAACTGCTCCACCGCTACGGGGAGACTCTCCGGCAAATCCACTCAGGACCCAACAGGGGCAGGCATCATGAAGGTTTCTACCTGAGCCACAGCAAAGCCAGAAAAGTTGCCGCTCCAAACGGCAATACCGAGGTGTTAAAGCGTCTACTGGGGCCGTGGCATGTTTTACACACTGAGCAAGCATCACAACGGCAGCAGCCACTGTCAGCAGACCTGAATTTCGGAGACAACGACAACTTCGCCGCATGCACGCTCAGCCACTGAGACACAGTTGTCTGCAGTCGCTTTGACTGCGCTGGCCTGCTCTGCGACGGCCATGACTGGGACCTTGTACGGGACGCGTCAACATGTTCGTGCACACCTTGCAACTGGTGGATATTCTGTACCTATGCACATACATCCACCTATAAAGATGTACATTGCTGTACATGTCTGTACGTATATGTATATTTATATATATATATATATCCGAGAGAAAAGGAGCAGATAATAATGCGAATGTATGTGTGCACGCAAGTCTGTGTATACGTACATATGCATGTATGCACATAGGCATGTATGTGTGTAAATTTGTGTAAATGTAGTACAGTATGTGCAGGTATGCATGGATGAATGTGTGTGAGTGTGCATGTATGTACGCACGCATGCATGTATACATGAAATCCGGTTCGACTGCTTGCAACTAAATTGTTGGAAGCTCGTATCTACTGAGCTTTTTACCTTCCGGTGTGCAGGCCTAGAGCCGAGCAGGTGAAGCAGAAACGACTGGGTCAGGTGCGAGGCGCCTCGCCTCCGAGCATGGCCTCCTGGCTCGTTGCACTTCTCGATAACGGGATAGGAACTTTACAAAAATGAGAAGTCAAAAGGGCCCCTGCTTTGCTGCTTAGAGCTTGGTATTCAGGGTTTGGTGGCACGTTCCGGTATTCAAATCTTTTTATTTTTATGAGACGCAGGAAGTCAAGAAGTGTCCTGCACATGATTTAAGACTCTTTGACGACACGCATGGTGTTGTCATGGGAGTCAAAACTGCGACATACTTGTGCACGAAGACACCATTTCGACCGGCCGAGTCCTGCGCCACCACAGGGGATCAACTTCTATTGCAGGGGAAAACTGGCTACTTGAGCCGAGCACAGCCATAAAAGCTAACAAACGATCACCGAACGACATGGATCACCTCATGATGTCTTACAATTGGCAGAAGGCTTGCCCATTGTAGGCACAGTGGATTGCATGTTTCAACATGGATCGAATGACCATCCCGAAGCATACGACAAGGGGTACAACTTTCCCTGAAGATTCCACCATTCGTTTTAGCAAGTTACATGTGCAGCTTTTTGTTGGACTGCCCCGCCAGCTTACACCAGGCTTGCTAAGCTTAGCTCAACTACTAACTGCAACCTTTCGTTGCATGCGGTACAACTATCCTACCGACGTGGTCTGCTTCTGCCCAACGCACTGCTGCATATATGCCACACAACGGAACCCAAGAAGAACCCTTGAAGCAAAGCACGCCCTGCGCGGAAGAAGCGTCTGGTGCTCAACAGCAGTGGCTTCCAACTTCGCTTGCATTTCAACATGCGAATGCCATCCGCAAGGTGGACAGGTGATTCCTTGCTTTTGAACGCTGGCTGGACTTCAAGCTGCACAGAGACGATGAGAGGCTGAGCGAGTGCTCTCACAAAGATCGGTTCAGGGCATTCGTGGAATGCCCTGTTGCCAAAGAGGCAGTGCTTTAACCGCTGCTGCAGTGCTGTCTTGGACGAGCACGGCACATTGCTAATTATGCTTTATCTGATGTTCGAGCCAAGTGGGATCTCTGTTGCATGTACGTTTGCTTTTCGGAGACTGTCTTCCTACAGATACCTACAGACATACAGAGGACTCAGATGGAATGGGCAATCAGATCGACGATGCGCCCTCTTATTTGGACTCCAACTTGAACCTGAGCTTCCGATTGCAAGGTGGCACCAATCGAAGGCAACAAGCGAACGCTGTTGAGATTCTCACACATCGAGGAGGATCTGCTCGCTGGACAAATCCCACATCACTGGGCATTTCCCACCGAAACACCTTTGACTGGAAGTTTTTCATTGTCGGGAAATGGAACCACTACCGGCCTGCGCACGTCTCTGACATTAAGCTAGACACATGAGGCCAGGCATGTCCGCATTGCTCTGGCAGGTGAAAATCCTCGGTGCAAATCTCAAGTCAAGCAGCACTTTCTGCTAGCCCTGGCCGATTGCGACCACAACGATTCTGACGACGAAGATGACGACGAAGATGGGAACAACCGAAACAACTGCCGCTACGAATTCACCTGGTGGTCTACTACAGTGAAGTGGCAAACGACAACTCCAGCAAGCTCCGCGGAGGTCGTGACTACCACAAAGCCGAGAAGAACACTTCAACTAATAGTAACTGGCAGGCCAGTTATATTGCGAAGAAGACTGAACAAGCTCAAGAGTCAGCGCAAAGAAGCAGCAACACACAAGCAAAAGCACCAGTACCAGCACCAGCAGCTGGCAGTCCCGGCAGCGACGGCCGGAAACGAGGGCACCCCACCACCGCCACCACCAGAAGCGCACAGGCAGTCTGCTGTTGTGCGACAATGCCGACAATTTTCTGTAGCACTGCACCATGCTGCAGGTGCTGCAACCGTTTCGCCTCTAAGCCTCTGAGGCTCGAGCGGGCCCGCGTGCAAGTTCTTGCTCAGGACCATTTGCGGGCCAGAGCCTGCGATGTTCCACACCTGAGATGTCTCAGCAAAGCTGACAGAGCTCTAAGCCCCATCAACGTGCGCACGACGACAAAGGGAGATGCTCAAGAGCAGCCAATCCGAATCCATCGTTTCAATGGTCTCTTCATGTTCATTCCCTTCCGCGCCTTGGCATGGCCGTCCAGGCCCGCGGTGACCAGGAGGCCCGGCGCGGGTGCATCCTGGTACCAGTCTGAGGCCTACGAGGCATTACGAAGTTATGAAGATATCTGAATCAGCCATCTCATCAGAAGGCGTGGCAGGCAAAATTTCCGGAAAATGTCCCGAACTTAGTTCCTGATTCTGGCTCGCTCGTGCGTAAAGCTGTGGGTCCTGGATGCTCGTGCAAGCCACATCATGCGCCATCAAAGTCCACAGCACCTGGTCCTTGGCCTGACACGATTCAAGGTCACAAACACCACCGACGCAGAGTTTTAGTGCGCCTTGGAGGCGATCTTCCGCACATCGTAGCAGCAAACTCCTCAGGGGCCAAAGAAATGAGACCCCAGACATCCGACCCAAAACCCGAACCATTTTAAACAACCAGACCGCCTCCGCTGTCTGTGCTCGCGAGACACTGGAAAGGCTGGTGCCTCGGGGGTCTTCGACGCTGATCTGAGGTCTTTTTTGCCGAGTCGCCCTCGGGCGAGGGCCGGCTCCAAATGGCGCACTCCGCTTCTCCCGACAGCGAAGCCAGGGCAGCCTGCAACAAAAGAAAGAGCCATCCGGACGAACTCTGTGTCTCAACTGCTTCAGTCACTGCACACTGCACCTGCTTCGGTTGGCGAACATCCAACAGGCCCAGCTGCCGATCAAAGGCTGCTGTGAGAAGCACGGCTTGCTCGGTTGGATGCCACCTTCGCTTCCGAGGCGCTAGCATGCGAATATATGCGAATGCCTGGACATTCTGCACCCATGGCACCGGCCTCACGCACTGCACCTGCGACAAAGACTGACGGTGAACCCTGCAGATCCCTCGTAAGGAGCTTCTGTTACCTTGTCGGAGTGATGCTCGAAAGTATGCGCGCAAGAACCATCAGTGACGTCCCACACCTGCGGCACACATTGCAATGAGATGTCCCAAGCACTGTTTGAACACGTGTCTCTTGTTGATGTGGCCTTGAGTGTTTCATCAGCTGAGCCACTCGCAAGCACCTTTTGAGAAGGTTATCATGTGTGCGACATGATTGCATCACTTCACAGACAGACCCCCGCCCCTCTTTTGCTGCCAAGGCACAGAGGGGTTGAAAGCACTGGCATGCAAGCATAGTACCTCATGCACCGCGCTCGGCAAACGAGCCCTTCTTCGGGCGTGTTTGGAGTCTACACCAGTGACTAGCGCTAAGGCAGCGCGCTGGCCCGTCGTGTGCCTGGCAATCAAACTGTCAGCAGGCAACAGAGGGCGGCGGCAGGCTACCGACAGCCGACAGCCTTCACCTCGTTCGGCCCCAAGGACTTCTTCTTTCTTTTTGCCTTGCCCTTGGCTTTGGCGGGCTTGCGTGCGGCGCCGAGGACCTCGGCGGGAAGTCGGCTTTATGCGGCACGTGGCTGAATGTAAGCCGCTGGCTTGAGCAGGTTCCAGAGGGTCCATCTCTTCCAAGTTCCAAAGCCTCAGATTCGGAAGATCTCGAAGCTGCAAGTCAGGTGGGAAACGATTCGGGGCATTCAGATCATGCCAAGCGGCTGGATAGAGTGATCAATCGAACCCACAGCAGCATAGCAGCCGCTGTCACTCGAGGACGTTCGTCCCATCCACTCCACGCACAGCGGATAAGCTGCAAGGCCAATTTCATGGTGCACATACATGTTCACCTCATCCTCCTCGAAGACATAGAGCTCCAGGGTGCAGCAGTCTTCCTTCCACGTGGGCTCCGGTCTGCTTGCTCATCGCTCTAGTCGCTTGATGTGTGTCATGCATGCATGATGCATGGCCTCGCAAGAAGCTGCGACGAACACATGGTCATCCTGCCGAATCTCCACATCACCTGCAGACGACACGCCAGTTTGCAGGCAGCTTGGGGCTTCCGTCTCCAGGGAAGCAGCAAGATGCTAAGACTAGACTCGACTAGACGGCTAGACTCTATGCCGGCCAATGGCCAATGGCTAGCCGTAGGGCGAGGAATACCGACTTGCTTAGACCTAGCCAACTTGTCACAAGGCACTCTTCTCATAGCTTGCACGACCGCGCTTTCGTTCCCCTCCCCGGCCTTCTGAATCAGAATCTGAGTCTGGATTTCCAGTCATGTGTGGGTCCTTTTCTCTTGCCAATTCGCCATCGGCATCGAGAACAGAGAAGAACTGCATGCCTCAATGGTAATGAAACGAGCCACTGCTCCAAGACAAACACATGCCCAGCTTGCATTTTGCCGCCTTCATCAGCGTCGTTGTCGTAGTTCTCCATGTCGAACTCCTGACGATTCTTTGGTTCAAGAAAGGCTCCCCAGCGAAACTGCGACAGATGCCTCCAAGCCGGGAATAGATCCCCCAGCAACCGCACTGTTCACGTCGGCTGCTTCCCTCATCGCATCATCATCCTCCTAGCGCGCTCGGAACTCAATGCACAAATCACCCGTTGACTAGCTGCATCAACACCGTCGATGCGAGGTGTATGATTTGAGTGTGAATTGCCACATGAATTCCAAAGGTCCAGGGCCTCTTCCTGCTGGGCTCCGACGAGGCGTCCGCTGCAGCTGCCACGCGGCAACCAGGACACACAGGTCACTGCAGTCTTCTCCATTGCTACAAGAAGTTACTGCAAAGAACAGCTTGAATTGGACTCTCTTCTATAGTGCTCGAAGAGATGCCCAGCACTTCTTACTACAACAGGTGCAGCAATGTGCCCTCGGGGTTGAGGAGTGCTTAGGGGTGGTTGGTGTCAGTTGAGGACTGGGACCTCCAGACTCCAGGAATCCTTTAGACTTTAGATTACCCTTTTAACCCTGACGGCTATGCTGGTGAGGGCTGCCTGCTAAAGAAGGCTTGCTGGTTGCTGGCAAGTTGTGCTTTTACACGCAGTAGCTGTAGCTTTAGCTAGCGGGTTCTGGAAAGGTGCCTCGGCATTCTACTCTGTGCAGCTTGAATCAATCCAGCACCAACGTGAAAACTCACCGATAGGAAAGCGATCCGCCGGCTTGTGCACAAAGTGACGGTAGATGCAAGACTGCAAAACCTCAAACGCAAAACAAAACTCTGCCCGTCCGCGTGCATTCAGTCGCAGCCTGGTGCTTTTAGTAATCATTGATCTGCTGGGACAGGGTTCCAAGAATTGCTTTACAGGGAACGCAAGATACTCTGTCAGTTCCCAAATTTACAAAGTCGCTGTGCGCCTGCCTTTTGGGCAATAGCAGTTGCTTTGAAGATGTCAGAGCCCAAGGCAGACAAAGCGTCTAAGTCTGTGCCGACCTGTGCTGGCGCCAGCGGTGGCCGGGCAAAAGGTGTTGAAACATGGCCCTGCAAGACTTGCTTCAAGCAGTCCGCACGGCTATGAATAAGGTCTAAACAAAAATCGCCTCTCAAACGAATTCGAAATACAGTGCCTGCCAAGCAGCACTGACGTCCTGCAACATGCGTGTCTTACGACATTCTGTTCGGAAGCAGCGGTCTGTTTCTGTAGTAGTTCGGTGGAGCACGAGCCGGAGCAATCAGTTCAATCAGTTTTGACAAATTAGAAGAACGATGCTGATACTGATGGATTCTTGGCCGTCCTCGTCCGTGCTTGAAGTACCCTTCAGGCGTTCCTGTGAAATGGCAAAATTATCTGTGGCAGCAGCTTCTTCTCATCAACACTGCATGGATGATGCTCGACCTCGATGAACTTTAGCTCAGCACGCTTCACGTCCACGTACCTGGACTTGTTTCCAGGACAGAAGTCAAGTCACAAGGACGAGAAGCTGAGGCCACCAAAATCCGCATGCTACCGAGCAGCCATCGCACAAAGCGCTGGCCAAGCTTCGAAACCTTTCGAGCTTTTTGCTGCTCACGCGTCTGCGGAACCGTGTTGCATGAACTTTGTGCTGCCGGGGGACCAGGTAGCTGTCAGCTTCGAAAGCTCGCAAGGCTTCATCCAAGGAGGTAGGCAGCGCTGCAGCGCCGTCTGCCTGGCCGATCGCACTGAAAAGGCGTCTGCAGGCTCGAGGCTCGAAATGCTCGAAAAATCGCAGAAGAGCGTTCTTGAACAGGACCCGCGATCCCCAAAAACTTCACGAACTTGCAGAAGCCCCACCATTAGATTGCTTTAGCCGAGAGCTTGACGGCTTGTTGGGAGGTGCACCAACACTCGCCGGCCAGGGTTCGAAGGGTCTTTTTCAGGAGGCATCGATCGCTCTAGCAGCTAGCAGCTAGTCGGCTCCACTTAGAGAAAAAACACCGAACATCTCCTCGGCAAGCCTTCGTCTGACGTTCAGGAGGCAAGTCCAAGCCCTGCTGAAGCCCATCCAAACCGCTGGCCACAAGACCTGCGAGTACCTGCAGCTTCGTGAACACCCACAACATGGAGCCGCAACGAGTACAAACATCAAGCGGGCCCACGGGGACTTCTGCAGTTTCGCTAAGCAAAGAACAACTCAACTGAGGTCAAAGCCAAATAAGGGTTTGCTGCCGCAGAAGGCCTGATTTGCATGGGGCAGGCACCGCTCCTTCGAACCTTACCCATGCTGGGCTTCAGGCATTCGCAGCCTGAGTAGCATAAGGCACAAGCAAAAGCGATTGCTTCTCAATGCCACTGCACTTGTGGAATCAGCTTCAAGGGCGAGCAGCTCCATGTAGCAGCTCCCTTGTGGGCCCCGACGGTCAGCTTTCACTCGCACACAGGCAGTTCGATCGTCGAAACCCCAGTTCGCCACGGTGGGCGCCCAGTTGCCGTGACGGCAGTAACAGGGCGGCGTAGGCGAGCAAAGCGCTTCCTGCACTGCCCGAATTCCTTTTTTCCCCCAACACTCTCTAAGTGCTGGCCCCATCTAGAATGGCCCCCTATCTCCCCCCAAAACAGGCATCAGCCAAGAGTCCAACGCTGGGGCATGGGCCAAAATGCCTGCCTTGGTGCAAACTTCGGAAAAGCTGGCGACATAGCTTAATTACACAGGATAACACCCTTACAAAGCAAAAACGCTTCTGGAAATATGTTCACACAGCAGGTGCAGAGGACGCCAATGGGCGCAGGCGTGACAACTGAAACGGATGCATCATGGAAAAAAACAAGTACGTCGCAGTGGCCATCGTGCGAAGATACTTTATTTCAGGTGAGGTTTGTCGCCTTGGACCTCCGTTCACTAAAGCTCGTTGGCTCCAGCTTCCGACAAGACAAGCAGCTTTCGCTTCCGGTACGATACAGTCAAGTTACCAGAAAGGATCGTGCCGCCGGCGACAGCCCTTTGGCATCTTCAGACGAATGGAAAGCATTCAGCTTCCCCGAGGTGACCCTGGAAACGACATCCTCATTGACATGTTCGAATCTCGGTTACAGCCACCGCCACTGATGCAGCGCAAATTGCCTTCTATGTGTTCTTGTGCAGAAGAGATGCCTTTGGATCGCCGCCTCTGACACCGCCAGGCATCCAGATTGAGAAGTTCATGTGTCCACCATTCCCGACTCCGCTGACCTCTGTCAGACCGATTTGCACAGCACTTTGCTTGCAATGCTGGCGTGCAAAGAGTGCTAAGTCTGCTAAGTGCGCCACTCCGAAAGGTTTGGCCATGAACGTCGCACGAAGGCCGAGGTCTTGGGCCATCCTCAGTCTCAGTCAACATAAGCAGCGTCGACCGCAGGAGAGTAAGCTGCTGCTTCCACACACTAATGGTCACATACTTACCCGGGGTGCGAATGAACTGCGAGTGCTCGCACAAAGATGGTCAGAGTCAGGTTGCTCTTTTGTCCCCGTTCGGAATGTAGCAGTCATGTCGGGGGCCTCAATGCCAAACTTTGGTGCGAACGTGATCTCGAGCTGGCCTTTGCCGTATTCCGTGTTCCTTCGCTGGTGGATGGGTAGTACATCAGGCTAGGGCTTCAGCATCCGGACCTCAAACCACTCCATCAGTCAAGAGGCATCGTGAGGATATCCACCCCCACGGACTCCATGTGCCTTTCCATGTCGTAGCAGAAATCGATGGCTTTGCATGACCTTAATGCGGCGATGCTGCTAAACAACAGACAGGAAGGAGACATATAAACACACGATGAACATGTTGTGTACCTCACTGCTCTGCGAACAGCTCTTTTTCGAAACAGCTTTCAGCTCAGTGTCTGGAGGGTCGTGAAGATTTCAGGGCCGTTGAACATCGGTTCCCAGACTTCGCCGGATCCATCTTTGCCTAAGCAGGCGCCCCCGAGACCTGTGAAAGAAAGACCTAGCATAGAATGCTGTCGAAGTGCACTTAGCCATGACGAACTCGAGCTCGCCGCCTACGAAAAGGGAGAACTTTGCTTGATTGCATACGTTCATCGCAAGTGCCAATCGGTCTAACGACAGCCTGCCAGGAGCTCATAGCCTTTGCCGTCAAAGCTTTTTAGTTCGGCCAGCATTCGGCCGCAAAGGGAGCGGGGCCCCAACTTCATGCCCTCCATTTCGCAGTAAACGCGCTTCACGACTATGTTTTTCGATGGCCGGCACGCCCATGGCAGAACCTGCATCCAGCAAGGCGACAGGTATCAGCGAAACTGTGAAGAAAAAACTACTGGGTCACGTGTCACACCTGTTCAGTCGACCAATCTGGGACGAGTCTGGCATTTGGGCAGCCGGCAGCAGCTATTTCATCTGGGAGCAACATCACCTCCTGACATGAGGCTTCAAGCGAGTCACGAATGCAGCTACATGACTCGCAACTTACGTTCGGTCCTGGCTTGCGCCATATGCTAAGGCGCCAGAGTACATGTAGACTTTGACGTCTCTGTGCCGAGCCGGCACGACCTTTGAAAGTGCCTCAGCAACGGCACATTAGTCGCACGACAAACTACTTTGAAATCCTAGCAGAACAGGATATCACAACACCGTCTCACCCAGCCTTGCAGTGAAAGTCAACGACTTCAAAGCGAATGTATTCTCTCTCGCGCGCGGTACTCGCATCTTTCTCTCCACCTGCTGCTACAGTTGCTCACAAACACTCGTGCGACGTGTGCAAACCTGCACTCATGCTCTGCAGTGTCGAGCTACCTCTGCCAGAGCTCACTATATCCTGGCTTGCACCACCATTCGGCATTCGCGCTGATTCGGCACGCGGGGCCTGAGATTCAATGAATCGTGAATCGTGATGTCGATTCTGACACTCCATGTGGAGCTGTGGCCTGTGGAGAAGCGGCCATGGCCGGGATGAAATTTACAGACCCCTCTGAAGGAACTGTTATCGGGCTTGATTTTGCAAACTTACTGTGACGAGGTAGAAGAAACTAGCAGAACAGACTTTGGCTCACCTGACCGACCCTCTCTCTTGGAATGCAAGGCTGCGCGTGATTCGGGACTGCACACATTTTCGGGCCGTCCTGCCGCCNNCCCCCCCCCCCCCCCCGGGTCCACCCAAACTTGGACACTTTTCCAGATTTACAAACGAATCTGTCAGTCTTTCAGGCAAGTGAAACTGCTTCACGAGTCATCCAAAGAGCCACGGTTGCGGTCAACCGATGCTGCCAATGTGTCAAGGAGATGACCTGCTACTGTTGGCGACAGAAGTTGGGCTCGAAAGAGACGATGCCCGAAAGCTAGGGCCAACACGCAACTGCGGGGCACGCGATGAGCCAGCGGGTTGACGAAAAATCTAGGTCGGAAATGTGATGTGGAGCCAGATTTCTGATCTTGTCTGAGTGTGGGTCCGAAATGGACTGTGACACCGAAGCATTGAGCAGCGGCTGGCCTTGAGCGTTTCAAGGGCATGTCCCGCTTTTGCACCGGTCTCTCTTGAGGCTGCTGGCGCCAGATCTCCGAGGCGGCGAAAGCAAAAGCCATGGTCGCACAACCCTGCCTTCGAAAGGGCTCCATGCGGCTCAGATCAGCGCTGATGGGAACCATGCGCCGGGGCTCTTGCTCGTCGAACTCAGGCATCCGCAGAAGCGCCTACCGGTACGTCATCAATAAGAGAACACTCCTTGCCGGGGACAACAAGCTGAGCGCGGCACTGCGGAAGATGCAGCAGACATCGATGCCTGGAATCAGCTGAGCTAACAGCTAACTGGATTTACACATGACGAAGGCATGCTCTATGGCGTGCTCGCGCGGACACACACACACACACACACACTTGCTTGGCACCTCATTGCGATGCAGGAGTGTAGCAAGAGCTCGGGCTGTGTTGGAGATAGCCTGCAAAGCACCGCGACGCATGACTCTCACCACGAGGTCCAGAAGCTTGGCGTTTTTCCACTGCCCTCGCCTGCGTGTCGCCCTCATGGATTCGGAGCTGCCTTCCAGACATGTACATCATGTACATCATGCATAAGAAAGCGACTGAAAGAAACAAACTCTGCACTCCAAAGCCTCTGTGCGCCGAGCACCTTCATGAATGGCGCACTTACCAGCATGGGCACTGCGAGAGTTCAGGCGCTGTTGGCCGAATCTCGGGCTGTGGACCTGCCAAGGGCTCAAGAAGGACCGTGCCGGCAAAAAGCGCTTGCAGTACCTCAGTACCTGGCCTGGCCACCTTGCGCGAAGCTGCAGTCCTCTCCGGAGCAACATGCAGTTGAAGGCCAGTTATCGCTGCTTCTCGCACCAAGCTTGGCCATGGCTAGGGAGGGACGAATTAGTCGTGGCAGAACACTGCATGTGGCAGCCCAGTTCTGCAAGCCCTGCAGAGAAGGAACTCCGGAGGCCAAAAGGCAAGAGAAAAGAAGTTGAGTAGCCTGAAGATACCCACTCAACAGACCCGCTGTCCTGATGGCATCCATCAGAGGCCGGCAGCACAGCCCCGGCTTGGCAAAGGCCCGCCCCGTGTTGACGAGCTCCTGACAGTGCCAGGAAGGTTCTTTTGGTGGCTTTCCTTTTTGTCACGGACGGCCTGCACATCACAGTGAACTACCTGTGCACGACATCTCACACACGAAAGCGTTTAGACATGGATGGCGCTGCTGTCCAGCCTTCTTTTGCAGTTGACCGCAGACTGCGAGCATCAGGGCCTGGTCTCTCAGGTTCATGACGCCAAGCCTGAGGCCATGGTGCAGGAAGGCCAGCCCCGACACTCGCGGATAACATCATGATAGGAACCCGGCCCCTGCGCCGTGTTTGACAGTTGCTGCCTTTCATTGCGTGCATGACTCAAGTGTGACAAACTGCACGCTGGAGTCGCTTGGCTTCACTTACTTCTTGCACAAGGGCCTGAGAGCCGTTAGGGGTTTTTAGCAAAGACAATGGCAGTTCTCCTGGGCATCTAGCAGATTTAGAAGCTTGTGGCCTCGGAGAGGCAACTCCTACGTCGATGCTAAAGGCAGGAACTTACCCATCTTGATCCTTGATCGCACACCTCTGCGTTTAAAGTACGTTTGAGCTTGCATCGGCCTTCCGGCAGGTCGGCGATTGGAACGCGAAGGCCTGCCTCCGGCCTTCCCCCCCACTCCTTGCTCCTGAACCTCTCTGGAGGCAGAGCGCCCAAGTCAGGTTTTGGTTGAGCTTTCACGGCTCCAAGAACTCTGGGAGACCGTCCAACTCAAACGTTGGGTGGCCACCCGCCACCCCCAAAAACAAAAGAGAGGCTCAACAACTCTCCACGTTGCGTTTTCCCACCCCGGCCCCATGCGTACTCGACGTCCTGTTGGTTCGAGATGGTTCGAGCTTATTAAAGCATGTGAACGGACAACTCCGTCTCTTGAGACGTTGGGAGCGCTCGGCTTTGCCGCGACTTCAGCGTGCACGCAAGTCTTCACAGGTGTTCCTCGAGGCGTCATGCAGGAGACAGCAGCAGGAAGCTCGATTGTTCTGGCATGCAGTCAGGGTGCGGCCCAGGATGTACAACCTGCAGGAATTGCATAGGAAGGGTGGAACATAGGAGTCCAAGACGTGCGCCTGTCGCATCGCCCCTCATGATATAGCTCCAGTCGAAGGCATGCCTCAGCGGAAGCTCTCAACACCCACTGCGACGACAACGACAACGACTGTACATCTGCATAAATCTCCGCGTCCGCACATGGATGCTATGTGTCGAAGTTTGGCACAGGACTCTGACTCTGGAAAACCTAGCCTAAGGCAAAGACAAGGCAGATCGCAAACGGCCATTGCTCGTGCTGTGTTTGACCTGCCAAATGCTAACAGCACAGCAGACCCTGCCATAACGCTGTTCTTCTGCCCGAAAGCTACTTAGATCCGGACATGTTCTGGGGATCTAGGTCTTGCTAGCGCTGGACAGAAGCGACCTCTTCATGCTCTGCTTGAAACTGTCTTGAACCTTCCTGAACATGGCCGGTTGTCTTAGCTCAATACAGATGTGGCATTCCAGGTCGGTTCACGCTGCACGGCCAAGACCGCCGAAGCCCATGCACCGTTGGACAAGTGCTGCGGGGACCTGGCATGCATCATCTTGCATCAACCTGGAATGGCAGCCACTCCTTGCGGAAAGTCCCCTCGAGAATGTTCTTGGGACCCCGACGCTGGAGGCATCTCTGCCTGTGCCCAACATCCAATCTATCAGGAGCACCACATCAAACGATGCAGCACCTCTCCAGTTTGCGCTGTGGGTGCCGCGATAAGGTGAAGCACCTCGGAGTCTTCTGAACCCACTGCCTAGAACAAGTCAGATAGACCCGCTCTTTCCTCAGTCACTTCTTGCCACAAAGCCTGAGGTTGTGGCATCCGTCAATAGCTTTTGGAAGCTCTGTGTCTACACGACCTGCAACCCGTCTTCGTGCAGACTCTGCCCATAGTGGGAAAGCACATGCTGCTGGTTGTGAGAGTCGTCAGGCTGTGCTGTACAGATGCTCAAGAATCAAGAGGCTAGCTCCGGAATTGGGCTCGGTGACTACGGTTAACGTGTGCTCATCCGCCCAAAACGGACTTAACACATGTGCATACATGTGCGAGGTGGTCACTCTGTCTGCGCACCTCGGCCCCGTCGGGTGACTTGGCGACACGGTGCAGCGCAGTGACCAAGTGCACAGCGCCGAACTGTGGCTACCGCCTGCATGAAGTCTGTGTAAGAGGAGCTGTCCCCGATAGGTCTGAAAGGAAGCTGCAACCACGGTGCCGCTGACACCAGTTCAGAATTTCTCCAGCACCTTTCGGAATGCCATGATCGACACTTCGCTCAAATCTGCGAGTCCAAGCGCGATGTCTTGCCAAGGGGCTCTGCATTGACGCTAAAGCATCGTTGAGCCGACGTGACTGCCGCTGCTCTGCTGTCAACCCATGTACACCTCAAGTCGCGACAGCAGCGCCACGACGTGCAAGACACGTCGCGTGGTCTGTCTTGGGATAACCGGGCTTCACTTCGTCAGAATCACAAGAAATGCAACAAGTGTTCGACGCGTGCGTCCAGTCCCAGGCTCCGAGCTGCCTCGCAATAGTCTGGACCCTGCGGCATCCTGAACACAAGATCCACGTTTCCGACTCTCACCTGCTAGTCGTCCCATCACAACCTCGAATCACTTGTACGAAATGTTGGCTGCCTTGACCTCCTCTTCTTCGTCGCTCATCTCATCTCAGGAAGCGCGGATCGGCGAAGGCTCTCGCCCAATGGCGAGCCATGCAGCCACCTAAATGCCTGCTACTAGTTTTGTGAGCAGTTGCGAAAGCAACCCTGGACTAGTTATTGAAAGCAATCTCAGGTGAATGCAGGTCTCACCCAGAAGGTACAGTACCCACCCGCCCACACGGCAGGCATGCTCGGCCACGCTCAACTCTATCCAGACTCTTTCCTTGATTGGTGCATCTGATTGAAACACAGCCCAGCTCGACAGTCCTTCCGGTTGACTGACCAGTTTAAACTCTAAGAAGAGCAGGCCCCTGCATCCATTTTTGAGCTTCTCGCACCTGAACCTCACGAAGTCTATGATGGCGCGTGCACGCGATGGGAACGAGAACTAAACGGCACATCCTGCAATCGCCATGTTCCAAACATCGTCTTTGAATCGTCATCTTGCTCAGACTTCTCTCTTTTGAACTTGCGGCTGCCTAACTTGTAGACACCGTAGCGCCGAAGGGTCCATTTCATTGCAGGACGTTAGAAAGGTGAACCCGGGGCAGGAGCCTCACATCGAAGGCTACTGTCGGTTTTTCCGCAGCGAAGCCTGAAATCTCTTTGCCTGAGAAGCCAGCACACAGATTTGTCACATGCAGAAATGCTCCCGTAAACGATGCAGAAGATTCTTCCCCGGAAGAAGGTCTACTATTCCCAACAAGAACCAAGTTTGCCTCCTCCTCTGTCATGACCTGAAGGCCAGACATGTCCAGTGCAATCTCTGCGTAGCGGCTTTTTGGAAGCGCTGAGGCATGTGCACCAGTCCTCTTTTCAGCAACTGTCACTTTCTCAAGCCTGTGCGAACCGACTCAAGTTCAGATGTTCTGATTGGCCCAACTTTGAGAAAGGACAGCTTGTCGTGAAGATAACAACCAATGACTCGTCATATGCCGCAAAACAGGTTGTGAAGCTGGCAATCTCTGAGGTATGCGCATCTGGTGCTTTTGCTTCTTCTGCTCCTGTTCTCGTCCTTGCTGCATGTTGCATGCTACTCTCCCTTTCTCGACCTTGCTGAAGCTCCGCAGCTACGAGTTTCTGGAGGTTTGCCGGGAGCCGAACTTTCTCGCGCTTGGATTTTGGCTTTCAGAGCCAGGGCTTCCTCCGCGCGCATGACATTCCTTGCCTGCAGGGCGCGTCGCTTTCGGCATATGGACGCCTCGACTCTGCAACGCCATAGTCGGCTAATGGCAGGAGTACGGCCTGCGGCTCACCCTTAGCATTCCGGACGATGGTGAAGCTGATCTAGGCACAAGGGCGACCAGCAAAATCCGCGGCATGCCGAAAGAAAAAGGTGCATATGGTACCGTAGAGCATCTTGAGGCTGCCACCAGCTCACCCACTTTCGCATCGCCCATTTGCCTTGGAATCCGGACGCAGAACGAAACACCCTGCCATGCCGTGAACTTCCTCGTAGCTTCTGGGAATGGTGCCTGGAGTGCAGGTAGACGTCCTGAGCCAAAAGATTGTCCAATGCTACCGTGGCTGCTGCTTCCCCGCACATGCCAATCTCCAAGTCGCAGACACGTCCATACCTAATCCGAGCAGCTTCACAATCCTGAGTTCTCCATGGGATCCATGGGAAGAGGTACACCATGCTGAGGTTTCCATGTTGCCGTGCCAGCTATACACGTGCCGCAGGTGCACCAAGTTCAGAAGCGGACTTGTGCTACCATGTGCAGTTGAGGTGCAATGAAGCCATATCCTCCACCGGAAGCGATCTCATAGAAGCCTTTAATCCGTCCTGAGAACCTCACGTCAGCGAGACGCTGTCACAACAGAGATTCCTTGGGATACAAGAAGACACACCTCCCTCGCTCCTTGCCTGTTCGGGTCGTTGTCAGGGTTGAGCGGGTCCTTGTTCTGAAAGTGAGGAGAAAGCGATGAAGCATCTTGATGCATGTCCTCCTCCCTGACTTCTTCTTGAGGTTGACCGAAGTCGCCGAAGCTTGACTGCGACATCCTGTCAGCTGAACTTGCCGGCGGAGCGGGCATGCCCGCGGGTGTTCGACAAATCACACGTGCATCCACTTATCCGAGAGGCATCTGCATCATTATCTGCTGTTGCATCATCTGGCCTTGTATTCCAAGGACAGCCACTCACTGAAAGTGAGGACCGAACGAGCGAGCGAGCCTAGAAGCATCTGCTGCGCCATTCCAATCTCATTGACCTGAGGATCTACGATCAGCCTTACATGACTGGCTTGAAAGGCTCGGAGACTGCAGAAAAGGCGCAGGTGAAGCCGAAGGCCCTGCAAAAACAGACCTCGGATTTGCTCCGAAGATCGGCACCCAGAGAACAGGACTCTGAAACAGAGTGTCGCGCGGCCGATTGGATGCAAAGGACTCCTGGCCCAATAGTAATAGTAGTCAGTAGTAATAATAGTAGTAATAATAGTAGTAACAATAGTAATAGTAGTAACAACAGCAATAGTAGTAATAATAGTAATAATGGTAATATTAGTAGTAATAATTAGTAATAAACTCACGACTCGTATCCCCTTTAGGAGTCCCAGAGCCTGGGACGCCCAAGCCGATGCCTGAAGCCCGGGCGCCGAAGGTATGGAAGGCATGCCCAAGGCCTGCGGCCTGCGCTTGTCACATCATCCCAGACACGCATTGAAACTCATGTGACACTCATGTTGACTGATTTGGGCACACCTGAAGTCTTGAAATCGACTGAGGCATCCGGCTGTGTTGGGAGCGAGGGCATCGGCATGGGGCAAGGCGATTCGGAGGCGGCCTCAAACTCTCTTCTCTGTTTCCCTTCCTTTTCCGCAGATTCGCTCTCTCTTTTCTTTCTGCAGGCTCGGGGGTCGTCTGTGTGACCCTCCCATTGGCCCGCTCAACCACCCAATGTGTTACTAAGTGGTTGGCATTGGAGTCTCCTCTGACTGCTGCACAAGAAAACGAAGTCGGCTCTGTGTTCCATGTCGCAAGCCCCCACCCCCGAAGACTAGGTCACTAGGTACCCGAGCTGTACGACTCTGGCTTATTGTGATCTCGAGATCCCTCAAGCCCGGGCCCCCATTCTGCTTCCGTTGCAACTGGGGTCACTGCGGCCGGCGCAGGTAGGCCTGATATGCTCTGAGGACTCTGAGGCGCTGCCTGAACAACGCACGCAACACAACGCCACGTCTACGGAAGCTGTAGCGAACCTGCACTGCCTGGGGAGGGAATGAAGCCACCCTTGGGGAGCCCAGGTCTGACACAGAAAGCCCGAGGCTCAAAGGCAGAGCCCGAATTCGACTGAGGGCCGCGGCTCGGCTCTTGCAGGCTGCTGGCCTCAGAAGCATATTGAACCACTTGGGAGAATGGCTCTCCTCTGAATCTCTGAACGGCTTCTTTGCACTTGCTCTCACTTTGAGGCATTGGCTCGCAACTTCTTGGACCTGCTCCTGCCATCGCTCTGGCCTTAGCACCGCCACTGCGAGCACCCGTGTGCCATCCCGCTCCGTTGCTGAGTTTCGAGCTTGATGCCCGTCAGCCGGAAGAACTCTTCCTGTTCCAAGTCACACGAAACCCAGAAAGATCCAAACCTCACCTCAAACTCCAACATGTCTACGCGGCAGCCCTCAGACCGCTCCTCCTCAGGAGTCATGGACGCAGGCTCTGCTCTGGCTTTCTTCTCACCTCTGGCTGAGCAGATTGGGAGGCCCGGCCTCTGAGTCTCTGGGAAAAAACACCACAGTCAAATTACAAGATCAGGGCACGCTTAATAGAGGTCCCAGGGCTTGGGTTCGGGGCTGTGGGTCGGGTTGTTCCTCGGCCATGTGCTGGAGGTACTGCGGTGTTTCTGCTGGCACTCACGTTGAATGTCAGTCTGCCACCCTTGTGTACATGGAGTTTCGCAGGGAGTCGTGGGTCTCCTTGGCAACAGGCCTGCCATGCTGTACTGTTCAAAAGCTGTACACTGTACACACCTTTACACAACATCACGTTACAGGGACTCCTCCGGATGGAGCTGGAAACAAAACTTCCCGCATGCCGCAAATGTCTTCATATCACCAATGCTGCCGTTTCTTTGTCTTTTTCGCTGCAGCTGCCGCTTGAACCGAACCCAAGGGCTCATGACGAAAGAAAAGCCGACATGGCTCCCACCCGTCGATTGTCGAGGACGCCGGGGTTGGGAGGGCACTACAGGCACATGACAAGGAGTTGCGGGATGAGCATGCACTCGCGCCTGAAGAAGTAGAGCCACCTTCGTGCCATCCACTGCAGCCACCATAAGATCCATAACCTGTGCTGCAGGGCACCACGTCCGTTATCGGAAGAGCGGGTTCGGAGAAATCAATGGTCTATAATCGATGATCTCCGCTATTCACGGACACTATCTCATAAGCGATGCAGCTGCACCTGTCACAGGGATCATGCGAGCGACGGGGATCGTGATCGGCAGAGTTTCTTTCTTGCAGCATTGAAATTGTTTATCGATTTCCGGTCAAGCTTTGCAGGTGTTTGCTAGCACTCGCCGTGCATTTCCTGTTAGTTGTCAGCAGGTGGCTTGTTCTTGTTATTCTCGAGGGGGCGTGTGCCTGCGTGGCTTCAGGCGTGAGTTGAGACGGGATCCCCTGATGTTCTGTCGCATGACGGATAGTGCTATTGTCCCGGGCGCTTGTGCCGGCTTGAGTTCGAAGAGTCTGTGTTGCAGTCCCGCTCCAGAGGTCTGTTGTGCACCGTCGGTTCGATTCATGCTTCCCAAACGCGTCTCCGCCTCCTGGATCATAGGGGCGCTTCTGGCCCAGCATGGCCGGCAGCAGTCACTGAGACTACCGTTCCATCAGGCTTCGACCCGGCTGTCCGGAGATGGGTTGGGAGACTGCTCAGCAAGTCTTGGAAGCCTGGGTTCAGCTGCTGATCCCTCTGTGTCTGCGTGGCCTTCTCACGAGCTGATTATGCCTCATGAGCTGCACTTCAGAGCCAGGATGCAGGGTTGCGTACTCTTGACATCAGGGGCGTCCAGCCGAGAAGGGTCTAATCTCCCATTCCGCCTTTTTAGAGAAAGGAGAAGCCCCTCTTTTGCCTCTGTTGCAGCAGAAGATGCTCCGTCGGACACTTGCCACCCGAAACTCTTCCAAGACTGCAGCTATCCGAAGGCGTCGATTGTCGCAGATCGACTGGTCTGCTTCTGGACGAGCTCGTCAGTAGATCTTGCGAGAACTCATCTCCAGCACGTCAAGCTGATGACACCGTTGATGAGCACTCGAATGACGAAGCATCAGGACAGGTGGGAGTACAGCAATGAGCTGCAGCAGCTGGTAGATCTTTTTCTCATGTATCGGGAGCGCATCCGAGCCGAACACATCTTCTAGCCTCGGGCATCCAGTAGCGCTTGCCGTAGTGGATGAAGACCTCGTCGGATCTCGTCATTCTCTCGGAAGCTCTTCGCTGAAACCTGTTCTCTCCCCGCCTGCTCCTCGGGCATCAAATCACGCGTCGCCCGGCCTGCAGAGCAGAGACCGCCGGTCTATGGGGTTGTGTTTTGGCTTCGGCCGAGTGGCACATCACGTGTAGCAAGCCCTCGTGGTGAACAGACATCAGCTCAGCGTTCCAATCATCATCACCTCGACACGCCGCTAGCAAGCAACAGCTAGCAAGCAACAAATCTCGCGACAGTCCTTGAAGATCTCAACAGGCACATTCCAAAGCTTGACAGGTCACTGTGGTTTATAAGCCTACATAGATTGCCGAACTTTTTCGCATCGACGACGAGGTCGGGATCGACAACTGGAAGAGAGAAGCCATACCTCGGAACGATGGACATCTTCTCGTGTGTGTGGTGTCTTGGCGCGAACTTCTCAGGCACTGGCACGCCGTCTTCCTCACATGTACGGCGGGTCCTGAAAGACGGCGATTACGATCAGCGATGGGTACTCAAGCTGCAGTACGCCATGACCGTGCACACTCGGAAGGGGGCATGACTCCAACGTACTCTCCCAGGAACGTGCCCTTGGCCACTGCCCGTCTGGTGAACAGGCCGAGCCTAGCAAACGGCTTGACACTGACTTCTGAGGTTTGGATGGCGCGTCCGACGCTGAGTCCCGGGCCCAATGTCCACACCGTCCACCACTCCAATCCTTCGAACCTCACCGTCTGACAGCTCAGATGATAGGTTAACACATGTCGAAGCGCAGTCGGCCATTTATCGAAGCCACTTAAGCAATGGGCAAACACCGATTCGTATAAGAAATCCCCACACCTGCGCACTGCGACACTTGAGGCTTTGCGCAAAAAGACATGGCAAACTCCAGCACAACTAATTACCACCAGTCCTCAGCATCTCATCACACCCGGCATCGACACTGCTTGGAACCTCGCCGGCTTTGGGGTTGTAGGAATCAGGTACGGAGCGACAAACAGTTTTGGAAACGGCATCGTGCACCCCCGATTTCAGCCTTGCAAAGGATCAAGGTTGGGGGTTCAGGAAAGCGTATAGTGTAGGTACACCAGGCACGACGCCTCGAAGACGGTCTGGAGCAGATCGTTGAAATCAGGGTGCAGCACTTCCGCCAAACGGGGTCGCGTAGACTTCGATACTGAACATCATCATTTTCTCATGCCTTGCTATGAACCTGCAGCCAAGCTAGTTGGACCCCCGTGTTCTGCTAAGCTTCACGGCTAGCTGGTCTGTCAACATCTATCAAACGATTCCTGACACAGTGTCCGCCGCACAGCTACATGTTCGCTATCCTTGCCGGCGTCAGAAACAGTCCTTAACAACTTGCAAATCTATTCAAGGCTAGCGCTGGGGATTACTTTCAAGAGGTTCATCTAAGACCTCTTAGACAGCACATGAAGTACTTGTCACGGCTCATCGTCGGTTGGGAAAGACATTAGGAACAAGCACGATCTGTTTTCCAGTTTTCCAGCGGTGTCAGACACCAATGCAGCAGATCACGTCGGTGAGTATCTTGTTGAAGGAGGGGCTGGGGGCCGAGGCAGCAGAGAATTTCGGAGGTCCCTGCTTGAATACGGGCTGATGATGGCAAAGTCTCACAGAGATACATCTAGGCAGGTGACTAAAGACTTCTTTCCAGACCCCATGCACCTCGCTTCTTACGGATCTCCGGTCTCGTTCCGTAGCGCTTTGGGTGTCCGGACCGGAAGGAATTCAAACAACCAACGAAACTTCGGCTCAGATCGAGCCTCACATGCAACATGAAACAGGCTTCAAATTCGGAACCAGAAGCCGGAAAGATACCGTGCGTCCTGCCGGTCAATGTGGAGCCATACCTGATGCCTTCTGTCAGGGCAAAGTCGAGGACACTAGGACCACTAGGATTGATGTGGACGCACCGCCCCAGCTCAAACGCCTTCCTCAAGAGATTGCGCCACCCGGTTTGGAAAAGACCACAAGCACTCTCAACATGTTGAAGTGTAAACTTGTTGGACATGGAAGGCTTACAAGCTGCTTCTGGCGGAGGCGGGGTCGATTTGTCTCAAACTCGGACGACATATTTTAAGCATATTTCAAGCTTGACGATGAGAGCATCGACCAGCAACCCCTCCATGGCTGATGCGAGTCTGACAGTTCGCACATGATACAGGCCGCCTTCCGGCAGCAAGTGCATTGGCCCTTCTGCAACATATGCTTATGCAGTCAGGCCATGTCCACCACAACTGCACAATTTGTCGTTGCCCATCTCATCACACGATCACTCAGTCCGCACCTCCATCTCTCAGTTCCGCTTCTTCGAACTCAGTACAAAGGCGGCACGGTCACCTCTGAAGTCCTCCCTTCACTCTGCACTAACGGTCCATCGCCGAGCGGCTCGTCGAATGAATCGTTGCTCTCATTGAAGCCTGTGCGGTACTCCACCCGGAAGAGGTGCCAACCTTGTGGTGGAATGATATGATAGCACTGTCGCACGGAGTGCATCTTCCAGCTTGACATATCACCAGGCCAGCTAACTTCGGCAAGGCACCAAACTTTGTCTTCACAGGGCCGAGCACTTGGCCGATGGGATTGGAGCGGTTGAACACAACTCCTTGGATCGGTTTTTGAGCATGTCATGACTTCCATAACATGGAGTTGGGCAGAGTACACACATGAGCCCGAGAAGTGCTTCAGACATACTTGGGCCAAGGGTCGGTCGAAAGATGGATGAAGTTCTCCAGGTTGGAAGACACCAAGGTCCCCTCCGTCTACTGCCGACTTGCACCTGAAGGACATCGCATGCTCTGACCTATCATGATCAACTGGCAGGGATGGCAGATTCTTGAGAGAGAGAGGCTGACTACCGGGTACCGATGCCGCCCGGGCGCTGGCTCAGTGCTTTTGCAACACGGGAGAAGCTTTCACCTCCTTCAATTCGTGCTTTTGCTTGGAGGATGTCGGCCTCACGTCGCACGAGAAAAAGGCTACCGAAGGACCCTTTTGGGGCTCATAGATTTCCTCTCAAGCTGAGCCGGCCTCGGACTGCATGAGGATGTGGCGCGCCGAGGCGCTCTTGATCTTCCGGCTCTGGGAGTCGGCACTGTAGAGCATGTACATCGTGGAGGAGAGCACCTCAAGCAAAGGACGCAAAGACACGCACTGAGGACCAAAACACTCCCGCGCGGCCGGTGCTGGCAAGGGGCAAAAAGTCCACAAAAGACAATGAAGAGATGGCCGTATGTGAACTTCAGCTGTCCCCAGATAATCGCCGGCTCCCGGATCCGAGTGCCCATCCTGGAATCAAGGGTGGCCAGACTGTGACGCTCACGCAGCGCAAAGCCCGAGCAGACAGTAAAGGCTTGAGGCTCTTCAGGATCCACTCGCTGGCTGATGTCACCTGCTGTGGGGTGCTGATCGCCGGTGGCTTTACCCTCCGGACTTGCATCTGACAGTCCAACGCAGCATGTCAAGGCACCTCATAAACGGCTCCCCTCGGGCGGCGATGAGGCAACACCTGGTAATGCTGCAGAGGTTTCCCAGACCCTCTTTGCAACTTTGAGCTCAGCAGCCTCCTCAATGTCAGCGAAATCCATGGATGCAGCGGGCAGGTCAGCGGTGGGCGCACGTACTCTTCTCACAGGATCGAGGCAGGAAAGATCTGTTAGTATACCCACTGCAAGAATAGAAGTTTCCAGTTCTTACTCCTGCTTGAGCCAGACTTGCAAGTAACAGAACGCAGCAGAGCTGAGTCCCTTGACGATGCAACGAATACGCGGTCTGAAATTCTGCAACTCACAACCCGTCCGGTGGTAGCTTCACACCAAGATGCCCGCGTTGCCGAAAGGAGTGCTCGGAGACACCGGAGGGGGAAAGGCCTTGATATCTGCTGCGATTCGACTCATTTGGCCAGAGATCTTCATGCCCCGAATGCTTTCGAGGAGCCCAGAACTCGCGCTCAGCTAGGAGACGTTGATCCTGACGTGGAGTCTGCTTCGGGTGGAAGAAACCCGACTTGGCTGACTTGAACAATGCCCAAGCAGCACTTTGCATTGCCCGGTCCAGATGTAAAGACAGCGAAAACCAACTGTAAGCCATCGAATGATATTGGGTCTCGGGGCTTGAATTTCAAATTGCGTCATTGCATCTCTTGGTCTGCGGTCATGCGGTCCGTTCTGAACCAATAGAAACATACTGTGGAACCGCGGATTGAATCCTCAGAAACACGTCCGCAGGCGAAAGGTTCTGCATCAGAGTCCTTTCTGCCCAGACAGCACACCCGATCGTTTTGGATCGTCTGAACTTCAAGGGTCGCACATGTTCGTATGTCGTGCAGCCGTTTCAGCCACAAGATGAGAAAATGAGAACGAGTCGGGCTAGGGCAAGGAATCAGCCACTCGAGCGTAAAGGAAGTTTGTGTGGAGAGCGCGGGCTCGTAAGTGCGCGTGCACACGTCAGAGGACCGGCGACATGCTCTCCATGAGGCGCGATGGAGTCTGGGCGCGCGGATGCCGAGCCTCCAACAGGAGATGGCATGCCCAAGTACCTTGCCATGTGCTGAATTGGGTGTGCGAAACGTATGCTAAGCTACCATCATAAAGCAGTGCAAAGTGGTGTCTTTCATCATGCTAACCTAAGCAGCTCCGGAAGCAATGTACCGCTTGGGTGGCAAGTCACATGACATGATGCGCTGGATGCCGGCGCGATCCAAGCGAATCTGGCCTTACAGCGTTCGCGCAAAACCCAATTACCGTTGCCGAACATCCGTGGGGCAAAGAGTCAGGTATATGGGCATCGCAGCCGCAATGCTGGCCGAAAGGAGCACCCTTTGAGAAACCGGCGGCCGTCTTCATCACAAAACATGATTCCTTCCTGGACGGCTTTTCTATACATCTGATCTGCGACACACGACCGTTATAAGTGCCTGGCTGGCGGAAAAGAGTCCAAGACTGGAGACGCGTCCAGCTGTGCCGACAAACCCTCCACCTGGAAGGCATGATGCGTGAGTTACGACAGTCGGACGCCAGAGGATAAACCAAGGCTTCAGCTCCGAACCGGCAAGTCCACGAGTCTAAGAATCCAATAGGGGTCGTCATTGTTAGTTGCTTCGTTGGTTGAGGTGCATTTCCGACGCTGGCGAGACTGCAAGTAAACATGTGCAAGCGCATACGCTGCTTAAGCCACACCGATTACCTGCAAGTGTCAGTCCAAGCCACGGCATGCCGAGACTGCATGTTGTTCAAATCCGACCAGATGGACCCAGACAGCTTGTGCAGCCCAAGCGACTTGCGATCGATAAAAAAACTCCCGGTCATCATCTCCACGTGCTTTGCGCGAAGACGAAGCAACTTTGCAGAAGCTTCTAGCCAGCAGCTGAAAGGCCGCTTTGTGCCAAGCAGCTGCCCATGGGCCATACCCGGTTTGAGCGGCCCCACAGCAAATCCGTTGCTTGCGAACATGGTTCATGCGTTACACAGATGGCTCTTCCATCTCTTGGCCTCTGGTTCGCGCCATGTCCGTGAGTTCCACTGCCTCGTACATACAGACTGTCAGCATGGTGCAGTCGCGGCGGCCTATGTTCAAGACAGGCCATGCAGTAATTCAGCCTCTTCTGGCTCCGAGGACCTCGTAGCATCAGATTCCACACGAGGCTTGCGAACGAGCGGTCATGACGCGTCGCCGCTTCACGGATGTCTACTATATATTGACTGGCAGCACAGTGGCAAAATCAGGTTGACTTCATTAAATTATCCTTTCTGTCTACGTCGCCGGCAAACTCGGGGATCGACCTCTCGTTGTCACGGAGGAGGCGAGTGTTGAGCGTCCGGCCCTGCAGCACTGCACGCAGGATCGCGTCACGGATTCACCGCACTTCAAAGTGTTTTTTGTAACTCGGAGGCCGACAGCCAGGCCATCACCTGTCAGGGTCAGATCTAAAGACCATTATCAATCAATATATATATATACACATATGAAGCAGCTCAGGGTTGGCCTTCCTCCGAGGACTCCTTCATAAGGAGAAGCCAATCTCGGGTGACTTGCTCTTCGATGGCCTTGGTAAGCACAGGCATGCATACATCATCAATCAACATCATCGATCACACCATGCTGACCACCATCACCATCGACATCTGGGTTCCGGCATAGAGAGTATCTTCATCGTCTGCCTGCATGGAGTCAAGCATGGTCTTCGGACACTTAGAACACGCTCCAAACTGACCACAGGCTGGCAGACACCTGTGCATCCTTTTGCTCGCCCCGACCCCAAAGGCAGCTCACATCATCAGGCCACAGCTCCCAGTTTTAAGAGCGGCCAAAGGATTCCAATGAGGAACCCTTACGCCCCTTCTTCTCGCACGACAGCAGAGGCTGTCAGCCTACTGGTCAGGTCGTGGCACACTGTCCTCCTCAACTGGAGCCTCTGCCACCCCGCCCTTCTCCGACTCGTCGAGTCTATAGTTCAGCAGCTCCAGCATCGTGTCCTTCCGGGCGTGCATGGGTGTCTGTCGGTCCTAGGCACGCCAAACTACACATGACCATGCACACAGCACCAGGGCACCAGGAAGGCCAGCGAACGAGTTCGGAAGCAGGTGATTTCCGCGGCAGACATGCCGGTGACTTTGAACTCTGTCGACATGGTCGCATCAAACGCCTGAAACAAATGAAAGACCTAGAATCTCGATGTCCGCAGATCAGAATGACTCCCTGCACGCCGACAGCGATCAGCGCGGGCCTGAATGCCTTCCAAAATCTTTGCGCGTCTGATCTGGATCAGCTTGGTCAGCATCAGCAGGCTCTTCTCACGAGCTGACTCGCTACCCCAGGCCCTGCGAGACTTGCGAGAGTGGGGAGTAGAGCCACTCAACTAGTCGACTCTATGTCCTTTGCAAGCTCTACTCTCTGTGCAGCTCCACAGCATCCGACATCAGGACATGAAGTCCTTGGAATGGCCAACAAAGCCTCCGCAATCTCAATGTAGTGTCGCGGCACCTCTCGGAGATGTCAGTCGCTAACTTCAGCGATGCGGGAGCGAAAGGGGGTCACCGCCATATGCAAATCCAAGAGTCGTTGCTGAACTTCAGGGGTTCGGCTCGTTCTTCCTTGCACATGGTCTCCAGCTCCGATGCCTACCGTGGGCACCGGTGGCTGAAGAGTGCTTCACAAATCATGTCACTTGCAGCACTTGCCCCTATACCGCCTAAACCGCTTTCGGTGTTCCATGCCTCGAGCCACTGCGGCAATTCGATCTGGCACTCGTGCTTCGACGCGTATTGCAAGGCTGCCCACAGCTTCACCTGCACAGGTTATGTAGCTTCATAGTTCCCGCCGCACTCTCCTGCTCCGAAGCACAAAAACATTTTGAAAAACTTTGCATGGTTACTTCTCGGACCATTTCCTAATTCATCCATCCCTGTTCGTCAGTGTGGTGTTGGCCTTCAGCGGGGTGTGAGCACGCAGTGGACCAAGCTTCCCTGCAAGCGAGACAGTCTGCCAAGCGCAACCTAGTGCAACCTTGCCCGAACCTGAAATCAAGTCGACATCAGTCTCGGTATTGAGAGCAGGGACGATGGTGATCTCTTCGCAGCACAGGGCCTGTGCCGAGCATCTGCAAACAGGCACGGCTGCGACTTGGCCCTTGGCCTCCCATGTGTCGTCCGAAAGGAGCTCCAGCGGATCCTGCGCAAAAATGTGCGAAGACTCGGGCCATATGCAGCGGCAGGAGCCACAAGTCGGCCTTCCCGTTGATGTCCAAGGTGTACTTGTTGGGAGCCATTTCCTCACCGTGAGCTGAAAGATTGCTTCAAGAACTACAGCATGAGAGTTCGCCGCTCTCGCCTGTCTCGGAAGCTCGGCCGCAGCGCTCGTGCAGGCACATACAGTGCTCCCGACTGGTCTACTCAAACCCCCCCACTTGAGTCAGCCAGCAATAGGCAGAAAACATGCCGGAGTGAGACGGACGAATAGAGCACAAGATTTGTGGCATGACTCTGCGAGACCACTGCATAGTCTGCATGCTGCGACACGGCCTGCACCGCCGGCAGTGGCTTGCCTTAGCCAAAGGATGCAACAGCCGCGGGTGGGCTCCGTCTGGGCGGAGAGCCTTGAGGCAAGGGGACACCGAAAATGGCTTCGGGTGGTCACGCACCACTAAAATGGTTTTAGGTGCAAAATGGCTTTTAGGTGTGTTCAAGCCGCTTTAGTTTGCAAAGCAGATGGTGTTATAAGGGGACCGGACCAGCACAAGCTGCATCGGCTGCGGGCACGTTCACTGGTGTGTTCTTTTGTCGGCGGAAAAAGTCTTGGCAAGCCCTCCTAGATCATCAAGCGGACAAGAGGACTCTGAGAGGCGCACCTCTCGTTAGCATGGACCACGCTGCTTGGTGCTCCTTGCCAGCTGGAGCATCGACTTCACTTGCTCGCAGGCGGCCCGCCGCGTCTGGCCTTCACGATTACCATGATGAAGGCATCCGTGGCGGCACAGCAGGTGATGAAAAACACGGCGAAGGATTCGGTCTCAGCAGCTGGCGGCATAATGCGCTGTCTAACAGACTCTGCCAAGGACCCCCATTTAAAGCACCCCTCGCCTTCCAGCGGAACACGAGACAGAGAAGTCCAAGCGGTTGACTGTAATCTTACAGTCATACATCACTACTTTGGGCGTTTGAGCGAAACTGCATCATCTGCTCCGTGAGAAACCTTCTTCTGGAGGCCCGGCGAGAAATCCGAACAGCACGTACAAGAGCTCGGTCTGCCACGGGCACAAGGCTCAGTGACCAGTTGCACAGAGTTTATAGTAAAGCGCCTTGCTCAATTTTCCTGGTCGAAGCTTGCGACGAAAAGCCGCACTTACCTCGCAGCAAGCAGAAGCCAGCTCTCATTGGCAGGCTTGCTCCCACAGGATAGACTCGGGCTCCAGCACTGAAGTATGCTTCACTCTCCGGCTCATCGCTGAAAACAAACATCCTCAGAGGGCCGGGTCTCTACGATCTTGGACAAGTGATGGAAACTCGGTCCATGGCACGATGAACACGACGGCCGCAAAAAGAACAAAGTAGTACAGCAGCAGCAGGTTATTCACCAGACTCATGGCCTCATGAGGTGCTCAACATGCTTGTAGAAGCAGGGATCATCTGATGCGTGCTTAAGGTACGCACCCTGGCGACGGACATGGGGCGATGCAACCCATACTTCATTCCAACCACGGAGACCTGCAAGGGGCCACGGCCGCAGTCATAAAGGAAAAGCAACGCTTGATATTTGCCATCAGGATACTGGGATTGTCCAGAATGCCATTGCTGCCAAGCCCAGCGACAATCTCCAATCCTCGGCTTGTGAGCATGGCCGGGCACCAACCGAAACAAGAAGACTAGTTCCACTGCCCTGCGAATGAACTGATACTCTTGTAACTCTGAAACGAACTTGGCCACTTTCGGCCTGTTAATATGCTGGATTCTTCGAAGTGCACTCGTTGCTGCACAAGCTGCTGAGCGGTAGGTTACGATACTGATCCGTCGTGCTGTTACTGTTGCCAGTCTTATCACGACCGCTCAACTACTATTAAGCTTTTGCATGGTTTTGCTACCACGACATGTATTGCTATTGCTGAGGCGTTTTTGGCTGCTCATCCACCTCTCATCAGTAGCAGCAGGGGTATTAGCTCTCGTCAGTCACAGTCGTTGTAGCATTACTCGTCGCAGCCGTGTAGCGGGAAGTACCAGCAGAAATTCTACAACGGCTGCTGCACGCTCTCCGATCACATAGACCAAAGACTCGTACCGTCTCATGCTAGGGCATCCGCATCTGCTGTCTGATGCCACACGTTGTTCAGAACCCAGGCTGCCGGGCCTGAGACTTCCCATCCGCATCCGGCAGGAAGACATGCAAAACGGCATAGGTATCTGGACAGCAGCCAAGGCTCTGTAGACCATCGTGAAAAAGTAGGAGAAGTACCCTGGCACAGTCATGCCTCTTCTACTCCGAGCAAAACCTTCTGCCATGTGCACCTGGAATAGTGGACTGTACGAAGATCAGCTTTGCTGTCCATGCGGATATAAGAATGCCAGGCCTGCAGGCAGTATTGACACAGGAAGCATTCCCCAGGTTGAGCCAGTGCACACGCAGCAAACCCATGTGTTTGCTTACAGCGCTGGGTACAAAGATCGATGCAGTTTGACAGCAGCTGCGAGTCGGGCCCGATGGCGAGAACATGGCGCAAGATGTTGTTCAAGCCTGAGCTGAACACAGCTTTAGCAGCACAACCCATGCACTCCAACAGATTGCGACACCAACGGCAGGCCCCCGACTCTCCGCAGCTTCCATGGCACAAAACCCAACGGTGGCGACCTCTTTGGCCTCACCGCGGACAGCCCCACGCTTGCTAGGTTCCACTATGCCACCCAGGCGTCACAAAGCACAGCAACTTCCCTGGCAACAGAAAGCAAATTGCATCAAGATTTGCTCCTTACGTGCCACGGAGCCACTGTTGCCCAAAGCTTGGGGGAGTGTCTTTCCAGCAAGGTTTCATCCAACAGCTTGGAGACCTCGCGTGGCAATCGCATGGCCAGCTCTGTTCCAAGTTGCCGAGCCGATTCTCGGGCATGCGGCCACTTCCCGGGCCTGGACAACAAGACCCAGTGAGGTCAAGAAGTGCGTGTGTGTGCACATGCGGTGTTGCAAGTGCAAGTCTGTGTAAGGCGATCGCGTGCTCTGACTGGTCGACGCAAGCCTGCTTTATGTAGCTCCAGCAGAACCTGAGCTGACATGATAGAAGATCGCCAGGGTCGAAGGCGCGACGAGCACCGGCCCTGGGTGGTCTACCCATCGGCACAACGACAGAAGCTTCCACCAGTAGTATAGTTGGAATCACAGACCTTCAGCACACCACACTGGCACAACCCCATGCATCATGCCACCACTCTCACAAACATGATGCGATGCTCCGAGTTCGACACCTGATTGTCGGAACACCTCGTCTGCCTTCAGCCGTTCATTCACGAAGCTAAGCTAGAGCCACCAGGGTCAGCTTGACAGCTTGACAGGAGCAATGTAAGGCACAAGGACAAGGATGTCTAGACTAGACCGACTACCGACGGAGAGACAAGAGCACAAGTCAAGTGAGAACCACGTGGCGAAGCCCTCCCTGAGAGCCTGTGAAGCTCGTTGTAACAGCTCGACGACACGAAGCACATCTTCGAAGCTGCCCCCGAATCGTCCGGTTACCGGTTTCCCAAGAGCTGCTGAGAAGTAGAGTAGAAGAAACTTGGTGGTTAGCTTTTAGAGGGAGCGGGCCGCCAAGCTTTCTGCTTGGAGATAGGGAGGGAGCCAGGAATGCCGGCATGATGCGATAGTGCGCCGTGCAAATTACACCGCCAGATCCTGGTCCTTACACCCGACCATAATTTGCTTTTGCGTCACCTGTCACCGTCACTCACTGCAGGCTGCAGCGAATGTCACACATGCTCCATGGTGCCGTAAGGTCAGAGCAAATTCGCAGTCGGGTCAATGCAAGGAACGCCCACAAACTCACCTGGGCCACTTGCACAATGTGACTTGCGGGTTACGGCAAACACGCAAAAAAAACACGCACATGCACTTTACTCTGATGTGCGGCGACGGAATCCCATCCCAGGCTGTCATGTCGCTCACACCAAGGTATCTTTGGAATCAACAGATGATCCACAGTAAGAGCACTGCTCAAGACAAGACACACAAGAATTCTCCATGCCTAGTAATACTGACCACCTCACACATCTGACATCTCGGACCTGGTCGAAGTCCTAGTTGCTGCCACACTCAAAGTCTTTGCACAATTCGTATCACTACTTATACTTGCGACATTCGACAACTCAAAGCATAAACTATAAACACCTTGCACTAAAGGCTACCGGTGGGCCCTGGGTGATGAAGGTGGGGATGACGACGATGGAGGGGCCCAATGCAACATATTTTGTCAACCTGCTCCTGCAAGCAGGTGCTGCTTTATTTTGTGAAACTGCTCACGTGCATGAAGGATCTCCTATGGGGCTTAAGCCCTAAGCCCCAGAGGAGATCCCTCATGCACGTGAGCAGTTTCACAGGCTTAGGCACGTGCGACCGTGCAGGGGAAACAGTTGCAGAGCGACCGCGCCAAACGGGCTTGGGGATATGTCTCCAGTCCACTCGAACATGCCTGCGCAAGCAACTACCTGGGTTTTTAGTCATCCCGTTTGCAAGCAGAAGTTTCTTGAGCCCATGCATGCCTGGTAAAGGCCTGGCACTCGCGGCCTTAAGACTCGCAAGGTTGCTTGTTGCTTTCATCCAGACTTCTCACCCACCAACTCGGGAGAGCGTCATGGACTAGCAAAGGGCCTACACGACATGGACAGCGTCCTGCACCTAATTGCGGCTGCAAGTCGAGAGGCTGCAAGTCGGAAGCTTCACTCTGGTGCCTGAGTTTCCAGCTGCATCGAAACCGGCACTTGTGATGAAACGCCGGAACTGGGCGGAGCGCTGTCTGCGCCGTCGTCATCGGAGCTGTCGTCATCGCTGTCTTGCGATGGCGAGCCTCGAAGACAAGCTTTTGAGCGGAAAGCACTCTAAAACTGCCGAGCCAATGGCTGTCTTTCAGCCGCCGTGATGTCTGAGCTCTCCTGTTGGACCCTGTCTCTTCGTAGGTTGGAGTCCTCGCATTGCAGCGACCGAGCGTGTGTGCTCATGCTTTTTGCTACAAGTCCTGAGCTGCCCGTGTGGCACTAAGGACCAGTCGCTGAACTGGCCTCCAAGAAGCTACGAAGCGATTGGATGTGGCATACTGCAGCGGGTGAAGTTCAGGGGCACATGCGCGACGTACTCCTAGCGAACATTGAACCACGACAGCCGAAAGTCTGCGCAGCTGCCCCGCCTGAGCCTGAGACATGTGCTCGGCACTGCTGTTCCAACCGAACAGCATCGAACTGCCTCTGCGAAGCTGCTCGGCATTCAACTTATGCAGAGAACGCTAACGGTCTCCATCTGGTTTTGGACTAAAGATGCGCATGGGCGCACCAAGACGAAGATATCAGGCTTTCAGGAGCCGAGGCTGGCACACACCATTTCCCTTGACATCAAGCTGGAAATGCAGCTCCGTTATCTCCGGGTCCCTTAGGATCAGGCGACACTGCTTTGCTCTCCAAGCCGGGCAAAGGACAGCAGAAACTGCTCCTGGTTCCTAGGCATTGCTGCACCGAGCTGGGGCCGAGGCTCGTGGATAAATTGTTCGTTCACGCCGGCAGAAGACCATTCCCCAATAGTCTCAGTTGTTGGGCTGTAGCGAATGTGGCCGTCTACGCCAAGTGGGAGGTGCCCACCTGAGATTTGCACACTGTCGCTTGACATCATTGGCTTCAGCCCCGTGCCGGGGAACGGTTGCCACTATCACAACCAAGAAGAGCTCTCGAGCAGCAACAGAGGCAGCTGCCGGTTGACCCTTCGACGGTCACACGAAAGTGGCAATCGAACGCCGGGCTCAGCGTCAGAAGCCTATCCAAGAGCGTGGACTACTTCGCCCGGAAATTGCTATTCTGTTGCCGTCCTACACTGTGATTCCTATCCATCATCACCATAAACAGTAACATAGTTTTGTGTCGTTCACCGCTTGGCAAATGACCCACAGCGGTCCTGCTCAACTATGGCTGCAGAAATCATGTCTAGTCAATATACACCAACATGAACCTGCATAGGCGCTGACCTGCGGCCTTACACACGACATCATAGGACCAATGCCGTGGCACGCCATGACTTCTAACAACAGAGGTTGAGGCGGGGCCCTGCCGTGACAAGGTGCTGAAGCTTACCTTAAGTATATTTGAGACCTCGAGCACGCAGCGAATCATCCGCGCCACATCCACCACGAGGTGCACCACGATACAGGCCGCTTTTCACTTCTTCTAAAACATTGGACGAGTCTTGACTCGTGCATCTCTTGTGCTGTTGGTGGGCTCAGAAAGGCCGCGAAATCAGGGCGCTCTTCGCAAACTGTCGCAGTCGTCTGCGGGAGCACAGCAGCGCGTCGCTTCAGCGTGCACGTTGGGCATGGTGCACTTCGCACTGAGACGCACAGGCTGTGACGTTGCCGTCAGCATCATCGGCCCCTACAGCGTTGATGCACTTGTTGCAGGCATCGTGCCAGCCGAGAACGGCAAGGAATGCCGCGCATGTACGTCCCTAAGTTAAGTAAGACAAGGCAATACACTTCCCCTTGCTGAAGGATGCTAAAGGAACGGTGCGCCTGCCGCTCACCGACAACTTGTTCATGGCGCCAGCAAAATTCAACATGCCTCCTCGACAAGGCGGGTTGCTTCGACCCGGTGCTGATCTACTGCTCGTGATGACAAAGGCCCCTTTGCGTTTCATCTTGAGACACAGGCCGTGGAACAGAGTCATCAGATCACATCACATCAAAGAGACTACAGGCCCGCCTTCGAAGTCTTCTGGTTCTTGATCCGGCCTTTCTACCTTTCCTGCAACTCCCAGTGCGGCAACACAGCGTTGGGCCTGGCACCAAGGCTGCAAGTGAACTCTTTGTAAGCTGCGACGTCCGTCCAGTGCTGTAGGCCGCCCACGCTCCGCAGCCACAATTTCCCCGTGATGTAGCACAGGTCATGCCTTATCGCTGGCAAAGCAGCATAGCACGGCCGCCCGTGCGAAAAACAACTAGTTGCTATACTGACAGGTAGCTTCGCGTTCCCATCACGGCCACACGGGGTCGTGCATTCATCCTGAGAAATGAACAAGTTGATCGTGCATGCTGTCGTGAATGCACAGACGCTTTCAGGATCGTCCGCTTGCGCGTGCTCCGTTTTGTGCACAATGGGGAAGAATATGCGGATATGTTGACGTCGTGTCATCATACTGACTACTGCTTAAATAGTCACATAGTCATGCAGCCAATATCGCGCGACTGTACGGTGCGACATCGCTTGCTCGGGCTTCTGCATCAGGCTTTTCGAAAGCCTCGGACTCACCCGGAGGAAGACCTGGACACGGGCGACGGCAGACCATGTGGACATCTGTGTTGCAAGATGCTGACACATGGCGTGTTCTGCTGTTCTGGTGGTATGGGCCTGATTATCTTCAAGCAACGGGCAATGCCCTCACCCCTCAGGTCTGGGCAGAGGTCGAAATCCTGTTTGCAAGGAACTCCCCAATAGTCGAATACGGCCTGCACAAGGTAACAGTCGCAGAGCATTGGTATCTTCGTGTGCGGAAATCTGCCGAGTAGCCGTTTCGCACCACGGGTATGGGCTCCTGCCTGCAGGAGAAAAAAGAGGAACAAGGAGAGGAACAGGGAGAAAGAGGGAGAAAGAGGGGCGCGCGTGGGCCAAGCGCCTGCAGAGGATTTGCTCAGGAGCTCGGCCGGTCGGACCCTGCAGTCCGAGTCGTAGCCCAGGCCTGCCATCTCACGAAGTTGACTGATAAGAGCACAAAGGCAGAGCACGTTACGAAACGTTGCGGGTGCTTGTGGCGGCTCCTTTGCAGAGGCAGCCGGCGGGGGTTCGCGCGGAAGGCTGTAGGCCGAAGACAGGAGAATACCTCAGAAGCAGTTTGGGCCATTCACCCGGATTGTCCTGGCACCCTACAGGGGTTTGCTTGTAGATGGAGGGATCGCATTGCCACGGGATTGCCGAGGGCACTGCCGAATGTCAACGTGGATCCCACTGTGCGTTTCAGGCTTTTCCAGCAGATGCAGGATGGCCTGTGCTGAAGCTTTCCAGATGCTACACCTTTTCACCACTCCATGATCTCGCCTGACTGTCAAGCGCAGAGGCAACAACACCAACTGTCCTAAGCATGCAGCATCACGCCGTCCCGTGGGGCTGCGGGCAGCAAGAGCCGCTTCATTGACTTCAGGCTGGGCTTGTGGCACCCTTGGAGGAGATGGAACCCGACTCCTGAAACCATCTTTTCTTCACTCTGTCCGTGCGCGACCGACATCGCTAAATGAATGCTGCCACCCATGTACTTGAGTGGATGGCACAAGGCGCTTCGGATCAAGAATCAGGACCGCCAGCACATCAATCTGCACGCAGGTGTCACACCCACACTCGCCAGCAACAGCGCTTTCAATACTGGTCCCGAACGGCCTTGTCCGCAAGGTGCAGGATGTGCCTAACGCTGCACGAGCCTGCATGGAGGCAGAAATCTGCTCGAGCATGCGACCGCAAGCTGTGCTCAACCAAAAGGTTACAAATCATTACACATGCTCTGCACCTGGTGACCTTATCGCAGGCATACCCACCTCGACCTCGCTCCATTGGACCCACCACGACCACAGCATCCTTTCTGGTCTCACGGCTCACGGCTCTCAGACCAAGCAGCAAGCACGCTCTCTCCTCTGCTTCAACTGACGGTGGCACTGAGAACAGGCTGCAGCCAGTTCCATCGCCCCCGGCTCGAACCTCGTCCAAGTGCATCCAGAGATTCCAGGCATCGACATGCAGAGCCGGATGAGGCTTGGGCCAGAATCCCATCCAGCCGGGAGTTCCAGTTTTGACCTGGGCACCAGCAGCAGTGCCCCCAGAATCCCGAAAACAAGGGAAGCAAGCGGAGCGGCTGAAAGGTTGACACAACCTGCAATCGATCCCCAAAGCAGGCAGCCTTTTTGCAAGCCAGGCACTGAAAAGCCGCAGAGGAACCTCATTCAAGCCCGCAACCTCGCCAAAGCCGGGCGGTTCACTTTGCAATTCTGCGAGGGAAGGGGCCAACGGGCTGGGGGCTTGTGGGTCCCCCACCCTGGCAAAAATGTGCGGCCCGGCTCTTCCTAGATTCCTAGATCCCGTCTTTCAGACCATAGTTGCCATAGTAACTGCAGTTGTGCCGACAGTGCTGCGGCTGGCAGCTGGTGAATGCCGGAGATGCAATAGCAGTAGCGTGGCGCTGGCAGCCCATTCGAGGCGAGAGGAGGTCGGCGCCTTGTCTACAAAGTGCAGCTGGTACACAGCCTGCTCCGTGGACTCCTCGACCGCACTCACTGTTCATGTCACCCTTCTTTTTTCTGTCTCTCGTTCGTGTCGTTTCCGGGTTTCCTCTTTCTTTCGTCTGAGTTCCTCCGTGGAGGCACGCTCATACTTCTCTCTCACTCAGCTGTTTCTGCCGCTGCTGCTGCTTCCCTTGCACGTGTCCCGGTAGGGACCTCTGTGCGTGAGGCTGGGGCCCATGCATGGGCAGGCATTGGTTTTGAGAACAGGGCGATCAAAAACCAATTTCTCATCCCCCTAGTTACCCCTGATTCTCCTACCAGATCCTACCAGCAGACTCACTCCAGCAGCACTCTGAGGCCAAGGCGATTAGGCCAGTGGTGCAGGAGCTGAGCTTTCTCCATTAGGGATAGAATCAAAAGACCCCGAAATCAGCGACATACATCCCCATACTGCATAGAGTTCTTCTCCGTCGAAAGCTCAGCTAACAGTTGCGTGCACCGAAAGAAGAGAACGGGGAGTGCCACTGCGACCACAACCACAGCTTCAGCAGTCCTCATGCCCCTGCTTTGTCTGACGTAGGACAACGGGGGGCTGTCTCTCTTGGCTGTCTCTCTTGCTCTTTCTTCCTTCCTTCCTTCACAAGGCCCAGGGCGAGTCATCTGCACCCTCCAGCAAGCGATGCGCACTCGAGCCTTAACTAGGTCCAGCTGCCCACAAGCGTAAGTGCTGAAATCCCCCTGACCCCACCGCTGTGCCTGCACCTCCCGGCCCTGAACCTGGCCATCGAACGGGGTTTCAGTAACGCACGCACGCGCAACATCTCTTCTTCTTGTTACGGGCATTGCCGGCCCTAAGGGCCACCCCGTAACGAATTTCTCTTAATCTCCCTCGCTCGCAGGTTGTCCATGCAGCACGGCGGAAAGCTCCTGTTGCTTCTCACGCAGCGCCTCTTTTAGCTCCGTCAGTGCCGTCGTTGCCTCTCGGTGGCAGAACCGCGAGAATGCTGTTGGGCACATCACGACAGAGTACTCAATTTCCGCCTGACCTGAACCCATCATTGTACAAAAACTCGTACAGCCTTCGGGCCATCCCACAAGCCAGCTCGGGCCCCACCGTTCCAACTAAAAACCTGAAATGCTCAAAGAGCACTTTTGGTATTGACACCATGCTAAAACTGCCTTGCAAAACCCCGAGAGCTTCATCTACCAAGAAACTCGGCCCCTCGACTTCGCGACTTATGGCCTAGACTGCTTTCGGGCCAGACGTCAGGCAGAAGCCTTCAAGCTTCCATGGTAGCTGGACTGATTCCGACGTTCAATCCCTGCCACCGCAACAACAGACAGAAAAGGGCTGAACTTCGTCATCCCTGACTTTGCGGAAGAATACCGTTGTTGCACACAAGCTACGTTTCTCAACCACCAACTCGCATGCTCTTGCCTTTGCCGGCACGTTCTTGTACAGGAATGTCGCCAAGCTTTTACAAACCTCGCTTTACACTCTACACTTCGAATGTAGGTACTCGCACACAAGCAACATCACGATCGATCTACACCAAGATGCATCTGACGCGGTTGCAGCCTTAGAGCGACTGCGAGGAGGGATGCTGAACTTGGACGTACTTCTGTCTGACTCTGGCATGTTCCTACTACCTTGGTCTGGGGACTGTTTGGGGCGTGTTCTTGGCTTTGTCCAAAAATGCTAGTAGACGAATTTGGCCCTGCTCTGCGTGCCGCGAGTGTCCGGGGTGGATCAACACACTGTGGATGCCTGTGATGTCAATGGCGAGCTTCAGATAAAGTTTAAAACAAGACAACCGGGCGATGATACCATTTGCTGAGTCCATCGCCAAGTCGGCAGTCAAATTGCCTGAGTTGCCGCATAAAGCAAAGCCCAAGTGCAAAGTGGCCAGGCCATGGTAATGCAACTTACACCGAGGGCTCCGCTCTCCGTTACAATTAGCGCCTTCTCACAGATTTGATGCACTGGCTTCCTGAGCTCAAACATGTGACAAGAAGCCATGTGAAGCCATGAACAAAGTTCCAGCAACCATACACGCACAATATCTAAAATACAACAGAGGAAAGCACATAGAAGAACTACAGGAAAGAGCAGAAGTCGTGGAATTGAAGAATGGTTCATGTGCTGGGCCCGCTGCAAATTTGTCCCCTCTGGCACCATGTTCCTGCATCCGGCTACCAGCGCAGTGGCAAACGGTCCACATCAAACACAGGAGAGCCCTCTCCGTGCAAATGAGACACGTCAACCATGGTAGCCAGCTGCTAATTGTAACCGGCACAGCTCTGCCAAGCACCGGCAACCTGACGACGCCCGGCATAACATACCTCGGCGATCGGATGGCCCTCGATGCACTCGCAGATGCGTTTCTGTCTCTCGATGTCTCTCTCTCCAAACCTCTGGTCTGGGCAGGACAAGCCGGTCCGAGCTGCGGGACACGTTGCTGAAGAACAGGGCACACCGCCTTGATGACGGGACCTGGCCAGGAGCTAAGGTCCGCAGTCCATCCGGGTCGGTCTCAACTTCAGCTTCCGGGGCTCTGACGTGCCACCTCGAACGTCTCGGCAGGATCGTTCAGCATACACGCTGCTACCTGAAGGACACCGATTATATGTGCAAGGGTGTGCCAGTCTCAATAGTTTGGAAAGATCATCGACAAGAACATCTCCCCTGCCCTGCCCTCCACTGCCCTCTCTCGCACACTCGCTCGCTGAGGTGCGAACGATTTCATCTGTGTGGAAGTGCCTGCGCGCCTGCCACGAACAAGCAATGCCGTCTGAAAGCAAAACCTGCCAGTCACACACGATGTGGCACTGACCTCCTCGAGATGGTGAGCAAAGATCTTTTCCTTGGATCATCTACTACTTGATGCTCAAAGGCTCTTGAGCTTGTATAAAGGAACAGCCCCGCCCTGGCTGGTCAGGTCAAGGAGCAGAGAGCGTCCAGTCCAGCAGATTGGAAGTCCTGACAGCACAGCACTTGGAACTTAGCCACTACTCTGCAGTCAAACAGGGCGTGCCATCGGCCACCGGGAGGGTTTTGACATGCTCTGGAACTACCTCCTGTCAAGCCAGGGAGTCTTGAACATGCGTTCACTGCAACATCCAATGGCGGCTCCACGTGGTCAAGCCCCCAACCGCTGTGGCTGTCAAGCTAGTTCTGAATCAGAAGCCGCCGTTGTGCATATTGCCGGCGAGATTCGGCACGAATGTGATCAAGAAGGGGAAAGTAATGATTGCAGCCTGGGTTCCATGGCAAAGGTAATTTGGGCGTGAAGCCAAGACACAAAATAGCAATGAAATTTGCAGAGGTGCCCAAGCGAAGTAAAGATTGTACCTAAGGTGTGAGGGCTTGCACGAGCGATGGCAGTTGCAGACATTGCCCTGAGTTTATGCAAGCGGCTGCGATGTTCTCAAATAGTTCCAGCGCCTCATGGCAAAGAAGCCGTAAGCCATCCTGAGCATCCACAGCGGTTTGGACTGAGAGGGCTGCAGAAGTTAACAGTGGTCTGACGTATCTAAGCACCCGGCGACATGAACAGGAAAAGCCTTACAGCACACAGAATGGCAGTATACCTACTGCTCCACCGAGTCCGAGCGGACTATGTAACAGGCTTGCCAGGTGGCATTTTGATGATGGCTTTCCAGGTAGTTAGGCCGGCGCTTTGCAACTGAATGGCAGAAAAGGTCTGCATCATGACCTGCACACCCGCAATTGCTGTTGCCAGTCGCCGTGCTCTGAGAGCCGCCTCTTCTGAGTAGGACAAGAAAGTTGCATTCTCTCCAGTGGCAGCTTTGTCCATGACAAACTTCTCATAGCCTGCGAACATCTTGCACAGCTGGGCAGGAGGTGGGTGATCCCACCCGCTTCATGCCAGCGACGGGGGGCTCTGCCACTTGTCGCTGAGGCTCAGTCTCGTCAAATCCACGGCTTTTTCCAGCTCCTCCGCACTGCTCCGTGAGCGGAAATCTTCCCTTGGCCATACAGGTCTGGTCCCAAAGACATCCTTTGTGAAAGCTCGCTTCTGTAACTTTTCGGCTAAGGATCAGGGACCATGCAATGAACAAGCCCAGGAACACGACCTTGGATGCGAATCCAGGATGAGCGAATCTGAAAAATCCAGCGTTTCTCCATCATGACACAGACACTGGAACGAAACAGCTACTGCATGCGCAAGTGTTGGTGGCTTCGATTCGGGAGCCAGACCATAGGCTGACAGGCATGCAACAATACCGGAAAGCTTTGGTCCGAATTGATTTTTGGGTGCCTCTATTCCATGAGATCTTCAGACGACAAGAATTCAAAATTCAATTTATAGCCAAGCTGCAGTCATGATAATGTTGCTGCGGCCTTGCTTCAGAGGCTGCGACTGTCACACATCTGCAACTTCGCAGCCTTGCTGACTTGCATTGTGCTTAACAACGCGGAGGCACGGTAGAGCATGTAGTTGATCACGACCATGGATTTCACGCCAAACTTTCGCACCCTATCCTCCTCTGACTTCGGACCTTTGCGAACTGCTATGCATGTCCATCATAATCACGAAGGAAGACGGCTGGCAATGCCGAACTCTCGATCATGCTGGAGATGCACAGCAAAACAAATCCATTAGCACAAGGCTGTACCATATTCGCCGAATTCCGTTCCAGTCGAAGGTCTTCAGAAAATGCGACGGCCTGAGTCCGCACTAGCACGGACCAGGCAGCTTGATTCACGCAGACAGACTCCGAGCTCCGGACAGGCTCAGAATGTACAAGAAGGATGCACGGAGCCAGCCGAAACGTCTGTCCTGGATGTGACGCGGGTGATGCCGACACTTTGCCGCTGCATGCAATTGTTCTGGCATTGGGCCTTGTAGGTGCCGAACAAGCCCGCTGGAGTGAACCCATATGTACGCCACCTGGGCAGCTGAGGACACTGCAGCGGCACCACACAAGAAGCTAGAGGCAGAACTGCGAACAGGGCAAAAGACCTAGGCATCCGGGCAAGAAGGGACAGCCTGCTCCTGGATCAGTCTCATCCCACTCGTACTGCTCCTCCTGGAGATGCTAACTCGAAGCGAAGCGGTACATCATGCCAGCCAAAGGGAGGTACAAACGGCTATGCTGTGGCCCCTTTTGGCTGCTATGGCTGCAGCGTGAAGATCAAACCTCGGCGTCTTAAGCTTGCAAACAAGATCAGGTCCGGTGGGCCCTCAGAGGCCCCGACCATTCAAGATATCTCCTTCTCTCCCAGTTGACAAGGCGGAGGAGCTCCATGGTGACTTCCTGAAAGAGGGCCCGAGTCTGCAAGCGTCCACGGTGGCCACGCGACAACGGATGAAAGGAGACAAGTGGCAGAAGCTTCGCGCCATCTGGGCCCACGAAGAAAATCGACCGCATCATGACCGAATGGGCCAGATGCTGCGTAACGTGGACCACGTGCCAGTCGAAGGTTATACCTGAAGGCCGACCCGGCTCTACCTTCAGCCTTCTTCATTCAAAAACACAGCAACACTTGGACCCGGACAATCGCTGCCGACAGATTTTGAAGGACGTATATCCCATGCCCTGAGCTGCGGCGTGGCAGCGCATGGAGTGGAACCTCTCTGAAGGACGCCGACTGAGTCGTTGACCCCCAAGACCTCAATAAGTTCCAGCACTTTGGCGGCAGAGTCCGGGAGCTCGATGGAAAAAAACTCGGGCTTGGAGATAGCTCCATGCGACATCCTGATATCCTGACGATGCTCAGGCCAAGCACTTCTCATGGTCAGCAAAGTCAGCGTGAACATTGTCTTCAATCTCAGGCTGGCGGCACTGGAGAGCTTGCGAACACATTCCACGTCCAGCTCTTCCACGTCCACCTGCATGGGTTTTCAGAGCCTGCTTGGCCATATCATGGGCTCCGCCCACAAGCTACAGGGCCATTTTGGCTCCGTGGCATTGACTTATGGTCAGACTCGAACAGTGCATGCCTTCCGACCCTCCTACTTACTCACGCAGCACCACAAACTCCGATGCGCCTTCATGTACGTGACCTTGGGGCGTCCATCAACTCTGCACCACACCAGGTCTCTTTATAACTTGTTCCTATTGAATGCTTGCAAGGTACGGAGCGGCCGCGTGCCCAGTACCTGTGAAGCTCATCACAGGAGCCTCAGACTTGCAATGCCTTCTCTGCTGAAACAAGTACTTGCGCAGTCGAAGAGGGTCTGAGAGAATTTGTGCACAGGGACTGCTCTGAACCTGGATCTCCTCCAGAGCGTGGAGGTCGACGCCTCTTGCACAGCCCTTGCGCATGGCACCATGTTCTGATGTGCTTTCGAGCCTGGCACGATGGTCGTGTTGAGCGAGCTCATGAGCCCCTGCCCGTGCCTGCAGAAAAGAGCTCTGCATCTCTCGATATTCTTGCCACCTTTGCGGTCAGTATCCGTCAGTTCGTGCCTGTCAAGGAAGAGAGGGACGGTGGCCCCACCGATAGCAGTGACTGCCCGTGGCAGCACCTCAAGGTGGCCCTTGCGAGCAGCCTGCAGGGGGTCAAGGGAAGAGGATAGACAGGTACGGAGATGATCCACCACCATCCCTCCCTCGACCCCGCACCCCCCTCGTAATACTGACAACTGACCTTAGAGGGGCGCTTCGAGAATTATATCAAATCTCATTGGAGCGATTTTGTAAAGCTCCGTGTGCATAAAAATGTTAAGAAGGGGCAGAATTTCCTCCATCCGCAATAGAACAGGGTTTCGGATTACGGCTTTAGCAGTTTGGGGCTCAGGAAGTTAAGGCTTGCGAGGTTCAGGATTCGGGTTTGGGGCTGTAGAGGAAATATATGTAGTGCGGGCTTTCGACTCTCGCACAAGGTTAGGGGCTTATGGGTTTTGGACGTTAGGGCTTTAGGGGCTTAGAGTTTGAGCGCGGTTGTGGTGGTGGTGGTGCGGGGGGTGATTGTGTTCGCCTGGGAGATTGGCCTTCCAAGCATGGCTCATCATCCAGGGCTCTGAGGTAACTGGGCGGGCGTCCACGGCCAGCACACGCATCTGCCGCGCCAGCATGTAGAGAGTGTCACCGAATCCTGGCGATATAATGAAGTTTCTGCTATCTGCTGGTAAATCAAAAACACATTTAATGAACAGCAGTTGACCTCGATCCAGTCAACCATAGCACTGTACTATTTTACAGCCCTTTCCCCACATGCTCCTGCTGCGCCGATGTCCAAGCTGGCAGTGGACCAGTTGAAAGCCTCACCGAGGTACGCCGGGAGATTTATGCTCGACCGGAGAAACGGAATCGGCTCCATCTGTGCAACGACATACTGCATCTGCCGGTCCTTGGATCTGATTGTTAAAATCAAGCTGTTGACCTGTCTTGGGTAATTACGGACATCGTGGGCTTGGTTTCATGTCTGGACGCTGGGAAGTCGAGTCTCTGTGACCCCGAGAAGTTGCCACCATTCCAACGAGGTATGATCGCAGGCCATCATGCCTGTTATTAGCGATGCTGCCTCCGCAGAATGGACTGCCAGAGGGGCTGTTGATGCTCGAGACCTGCAGCGGCCACACTGGATGCCAAGGTGTCACATCGAACTCTGGAGCATGTAATCAACTGGCAAAGAACTGCAAAACCAAACTTGCACATCCTGTGAGTGAGTTTTCTTGTGCTTTCAATCATCTGGGAATCTGGGTCATCCCAGTCACCCCGTCCGTCATCATCTATAAGCGCTCTTCCGAGCGACACAGCAGCAGCCACTAGAACCACGAAAGCAGCAGCGATTCGTCCAGCACGGCAAGCTTCGATGCCTCGCACCTCATCGGCTCCGGCATGAAGCTCATCTGCTCCGCCTTTTGTCGCCTGCTGGGATCCCTGCCCAGCTCTGCTTCAAGACGGAATCCGCGGCTTGTATCCTCAAGCATTCGCTGGCATCGAGACTTTACAAGAGGCCTGCACACTACAACTTGCAAGCACTGTCTACACGAATCAGATCTCAGCTTCGGTCAGGTCGTGTCGCCCGATACAGTGCACACAGCCGTGGGACAAGCGAAAGACTCGCAGGAATTCCGCCCACGAGGGTTCCTCTCACGTTTCACCGATCCACTGACGAGCATCTCTCAAGAGACTCGGGCTACGCACCCCTAGAACCCTTCCAGTAAACAAGTGCTGACATCACGAACAAAAACTTTTGTGCAGGCCAGCATCTCCACAGCCACTGAAGCACTGGTTTGCTGCCTGTGCACAGTAAGCATGATGCTCAACACCGTAGAAAAACTGGTTCGGTCCTTTCTGCGACCATACACTCGCAGCGGTCTCGCGACCTGGCAGCAGCTTGTGTACCTTCGGACTAATTGCGCTGGTAGCTGGGAAGCTGCAGCATTCAGCGACCACCCATGTGCTCGCTGACGGAAGTGCTGACAGGCCACGATCTCTGACGAAAGCACGACCGTGGCTGGCAGCTGGACATGCACAATCGGTTCGTCGTGTCATACAACCTGAGGATTGTGTGTGCTATGGCTCTGCAAGGGCAGGATGCCACATCACATCTCTCAAAAAACTGAAGGTGGGCAGAGCTACTGCAGCCCGGCAAGGCAGCACGCGTCAAACGGCTGCGTCTCTGAAAAGCAGCTGACATTGCCCCAGGCCACGACAGGGAACTGAGAAACCATTCATCTACTCCCCGGATTGCATCCATTCTCATTCTAAGGAGCCTGAAAACCGAAAAAAACTTTGCAGCTGCAAAACCTGCTTTTGAAATGCAACACAAAGGGAGCAGGCACAAGGTGCAAACTGAAGGAAGCCGGGAGTATCACCGGGGCAGGATTGTTGTGCTTCTTGATTTTGCTGTACTACGTAAATCATGTGTAGTTGGCTTGAGCCATCTCTTCGCGATAGTGATGATGTGAACAGCAGGTACTCCGCATGTACGTGGAGTTCCGTTGAAGCTTGTGCCGCTTCGGAGCAGAAGCGAGACACACGGACATACCCTGTCCCCTCATGTCCTGTGCTTCTCTCAGCAGCATGACATCCTGCACGGGGTGGCGCAAATCAAAAGCAGGAGTGTTCTGGGACCTCAGCTACAAGTCGCATTGCCTCTAAAAAGTGGAAATCCAAACCGAGGAGTCGGGAGCTTTGTTGAGCGCGCATTCGCAGCACAAGCCTTAACCAAAGCGGTGTGTGAGTGCGGACGGGGCCTCAACTCCATGGGTGGGTCTTGAGGCTTTGGCACCAGAAGCAAAGCAGTCAGCTGCGATGTGAAACCAGCAACATCGAACCTTAGCTTACATCTGGCTTCCGGCATGGGCGATGCCACCGACCATCTGACATGCCAAAGTCCAAAGCCACATGGACCAACGCAGTCTGTAAGATGGAAAGATGCGTCCGACCTGCTTCAAAAAGGCGGCTCCTTTCTGGCACAGTGGCTCACAATCTGTGGACCTACGACCTTTCGACGGATTCGCCTCAAACAGAAAGTGCGCGACAGCCCACCTGTACAGATGTCGTCAGTTGAATCCACATGGAACAGCGCATCCGCCGCAGAGCACCCGTGCAGTGTCATTGAAAGGAGGCCGAGCGCCCTCAGCTGACTGCCCAACGAAAAGCAACTGCTTCGCAGGCTTCGAAGCGAAGAATCACTCAGCCCGAGGTCCAGGCACGGCATGCCAAAACCTTGACAGCTGGTTGATGCAGGAAGCCGTGTGATTCTGCTTATGCTTCTGCCGCCTTCCTCCGTGCGGCCAGGAAACCGCATGGCAGTGACAGAAAGCACAGCCCAGATCTGAACCAACATGGCAAGCAGAAGCCCCAGGAAGGACGACCTGCAGTTTACGATCCACACACTCCAGGCAGAAAGGCTCACACCCTAGATCCTACACTCCACGCAGCACGAAGCGATCAGATTCTGGCCAGGCAAGAGATCGCAACCTGCCACAGTTGCAGCAGCCCAGCACATGATCGACTGAATGCCGATCGGCCTGAAGTCCCTGCGACACCTGCATCAGCGACTGCGGGCTGCGGCACTGAAAGCTGACGTCGGTGCGGTTGTGGATGTGCAGGACATCGTGTGCCTTTGCTGGTGATATTGGAGCTGATCCGGTGGAAGGCCTTCCAGGCATGCTGCTTCACACCTGGCAACAAGAGCACGTGAACAACCAGACCACACGATGTCGCAGACTGTTTAAACTCGACAAGGCAGGCTGCTTCGCGATGTATGACCAAGTTTGTGTGAAGCCTTCCCGCTGTATTGCCAATAGTCCAATGTGTTCTTGGTTGGCCTCGCGGCGATCGATCTTGGATCGAGAGTACGGACCCCAGGCAATGAACTCGGAGGTCGGCTCCATCGGTAATGGCCACCCAGTTGGGCACTAAAATCGCTATGGTAACGGCCTGCACCACCACACAAGTGCACACGGCGGCGACACAGGCATGCCGTGGTCTGCACGAGATGACTGAGGAATCACGGCCCTGCCAGCATAGCACAGCAGCCGGCTACACTGCTGATAGTCCTGCCCAGGCCAGTCACAGTTGCGGACTGTCACCGTTGCGAACCCTCGGGCCTCAATTTTCTGTGGTTGTGGCTGTGCAACGCCGGACCTGCTGCATGCAGCACTTGTTCGCGACAGAGCAACATACAGCAACCGCAAACAGCAGGGCTGGGTCATTTACGCTGGATGTGCTGTAAGACTTCAAGGTGCGTGTCCTGTTTGTTCGGGCTGCAAACGAAGGCAAAGCAGGCAACTTTCTGCGCGTGCCACGTCCTGGCCCGAGTAGCAAACTTTCACTTGGAGCAAATCACCAGGTCCGACACCTCGGAACAGCTGAAGGACACGAAGCTGTGGGGCGCACGTGCGACATGGCAGTCATGCTCAAAGTGCCCTGCCGTGCGGAAGGGTGACGATCGCCTGGATCGAAGTACACTCACTTGTGGTAACGGAGGGATCCTCAACGACGAAATTTAGTCGGCCAAGGTCATCACGCATTCATCAGCCGAAATCTCTGCCACGAAGTCCTGACACTGACACATGTCTGCATGTGTGACGGCGATGCAAGTTATGATGCTTGGCCTCACCCGCCACAGCACCCGGAGGAACCGAAAGGAAACACTCCTTGCCAGTTTTTCAACATCAACATTAAACGGAAGCATCGCACCGTCGCACCGTCAAATGCCAAGTGCCATGACTCCTGGATTGCACTCCCCCCTTCTCCACTGAACCGTGCCAAAGTCGTTTTTCTTTTCTTTCCTGAAGCAGCAGCCAGCCAAGCGAGTCAAAGTTCTGCGATCTGCTTCTCCACAAAACGGGCGCAACTAAGCTGGATGCTCACGGTGTCTGCGACTTTTTTGAAAGGTTTGGCTGCCTCATCAGACATGATGCCAGTCCCGGGCATGCTTTGGTAAAGGTATATTCGGCATCGCCCCGAAACATGATCGCTTTGCCGACTAAGCCAATGACAAGCCGCAGCGCTTGCATGCCTGTGTCATCATCAATTTTCAAAAGGCGTGTCTGTGTGTGTGTGTGTGCATGTGTCCACACGCACACACACACCCACCCACCCACCCCCGCGCGCACGCACCCGCGCACGTACCCGCGCACGCACCCACGCGCACACACAGAGATGCGCATGCATATATATATATATGTGTGT